AACTTAAAGACAAATTTAAATAAAATAATAACGTGAACCATTTCACCTTTCACCGTATGACTTATTACATCTTTCTTGTCATTTCCACGGTTGTCAATTATTTTTCTTCTTTTAATGGGACTTTAGCGCGTTGCCAGTTTGACCTCCTTGGCACTACCAAAAAGGTTTCATATAAAAATATTAGATTCATATAAGAGACATTGATTTATCATATAAATCGATATCAATGATAAGAGATGTAAGCGTGTAAATATATGATTTTTAAGTTGCGTTAAGACATTTTAAAAATAATTAAATCAAACGCTTAATCGGATTTAAGGAAAGTGTATGGATGAAAATCTAAAAATCAATCTTGTACATTCATTTGACACATTGCAATGGATATCTTCAAGAGAACAAAGAATGGTACAAACTCTCTTTTGATCATATCGCTAGTAACATATGTTATTCGTAAATAATTACCAGTACATGAAAAAATATAATTTGTGTGTAATCAAATGAAAACGATGTTTTAACAGCAGAAATATAAATGATTGATCGATACGTTACCGGTATAGAGTTCGGGGCAGCGTGGTGTGGCGGTCACATCGTCGTGACAATGATAAGACGATAAGCTGATAGCGGTCTGCTGCACCGCGCGGACAAAGGAAAACTATATCGACTTCGAGGAAACTCAATGATAAATTCATAAAGGACATTTTATATTATAAAACCAATGCAGAAGTATATTGTTTTGCCAAACTTATCTGACCCGAAGAGGGGCGCTGCTATCGCGGACAGTTCTGTAAGAAAATATGAAAAATATTGTCACTTTTGCCCAACAGGCCAAGATAAGCTCGTCCCATTATGTTCATCCTCTCATCCTTACTGCATTGTTTAATTATTGTTGTGAAGCTTCCCTTTAGTTTATGTTTGTTACACTATTATGTTTGAAATCTTCATCCTTTTTTATGACGACTTCAACTAGGGCTGGTTCTAGAATTAGGTCATTATCTATTCTAGCATATATGTGAATATTAGCTTGTTTGCTGCAAATCATGTAGTAATTACTCACGTTATAAGATAGCGATATTTAGATGCAAAAATACAAACCGCTAAATCGTTCACCCCATCTATAAAAAGGTTCAGTGAAACACGAGCCGCTTTCAGATGACTGCGTTTCCGGTTACATTATTAAAAGCTTTGACGTGGGAGGCGAAAGGTCGAAAGGTCGTGACCCAACACGACATTCCAAATAAACAAGTGCCAACTGACGTCACTCCTGTTTGCCGGCGTGATGTAGCAATTCGGTGAGTATTTTTAGATTAGAAGCCAAATGTGTTCTTTCATCTAAAACTTTTTCAGTTACAATTTTGTCGACAGAGGAACTTATTCGACAAACGCATTAAATAAAATTTTATTTCATAGTACAAAATGACAAATGAGCAAGTGCCCACTAGAATTTGAAAAAAAAAAATCCAAGTGCCAATTATCCATATCAGAAATTTGCAGATGCATTGCCATTAATTACAAGAAGAGGGGCACACAGAAAAAGGATTTTTCCCTTACCAAAGCGTCCCCTCCTCCGTATATACGTAATCTCGCCTCCGGCTTGCATACTCGTCAGAAGAAACGCAGAATTATTTCTACTTCACGCCTGTCTTCTGTGTGGTCGTGATAATTCACCAGTCGAGCTGATTGATGCAAATATGTTATTGCGGGTACCACGACTGGTAGTAACTGGCAATTGTATTTAACAATTTCAGATTACTATAACACTAATGAAGCGTTTTCTGTAACATTATATACATAGGAATAAAAGTAATAGGACAATGACAATTTTAGTTAATTATTCGTTTTTATATTTTATTTATTATAATATCATTGATTTAAGACTCTTCATGTAAAATATATTAAATTATTTTTCAGTAACCAATAAATGACATGCATTAATACATTATTATAAAGATAGGACAACGTGTAATGTAGGTTGACATAACTTAATTAATAACCTTTTTTGTGTTTTAATAAAATAAAAAACTTCCAGAGTTATATACTCCAGTAGATTCCGAGTAAAATAACTAAATTAAATATCTTGAATTATTTTTATCAAAAATACGAAATCCGTGTAGTTTTAAACGAATGTATTTTTTTCCTTTGATAACAACGATAACAGTGACCGATAATACGCGGCGAGCGGTGTGCGTTTTGGCTTGCGTCCACGTCTAGGAGTATTTCAGGAGCCGCCGGCCGAGGTCATGACCCTCCACCTTCCGCCCCCTTTCCCCGCAGCACCTCCCCGCACCTCCGCCGCTCTCCCGCAGCGACAAAGACGACTGAAACACGTCTTGATACTATATTAGTAATAAGAAGCTTGGCTCGTGCCGAATTGTGACCCGGGGTGCCATTTGAAATATCCACTGAAATTATGTTACAATGAATTAGATTTGTACTGCATCATGTTCTTTTTCTAAGAATGTCAGGTTTTCCTCTTTCTCGTCGGTCTGTCATCAATCATCACGTGTTGTGTCAAAATTCCTTTTTTTCGAATTTAATTGAACGGCAAGAGAATGAACAGTTTTGTTCAATTTCCCAAAACTCATTGTTTGAAATAAATCGTAACGCCCAGAGACGTATATCGTAAAATATTTTATTTTAATATTTATTTTGATTAGAAAATTTAAGAAACATAAAATATATTACATTGAAATAGAACGGAGTATGTTCGAAAGAAAATATTTATTTAAACTGCACATATAGGTTTATTTCTAATTATTGAAGCAATGAAAATGGTAAGTTACAACATTAAAAAATAGTTGAAAAGGTTAAAAAAATTTAGATTAGGTATTTTTTTAATTTTTCACTTATTTTCAGATAGGCAAGATACAAACGATTTCTATCATATTCCAATATACAATAGTGCAGTATAATAAAGTTGAAGGGTTCGTATATAACTATCCTCAACATAATTATGATTATCACCACTATGAAAATGATCATTACGATCAGCCGAAACGAAGAATACGAAAACTGAGCCGACATCGTAGAAAAATGCATCGAATCAACGAAGATAGATATCCAAAGAGAATTAAATACAGAAATAGCTACGAAGATTATGATTGCAAATGTTCTTGTAGAAATTGTGCGAAATTAAAACAATGCTGTGTAGACCAATGTCATCAATGTCAGAATGGAGCGAATCTTATGTACGTACCGTATCCAGTTCCAGTAGTAATTGATGTACCGAGCATTGTACCATCACCGGTAACTCCTGAAACCACCAAACCGCCATGTTCAACTACAACCACAACAACTACAACGACCACAACACAAACCACTGTACAAACGTCGTCAACACAACCACCATATTTGCCTGACGATAAACCCTGCGCAGCTTTAGCAAACTGTAAAGAAAGTTATGATAAACGATACTACGTAAGGAACAATTATCAAAGACTAATGCCGAATAGATTCGACGCTTATGATGATAGAGATATAAGACCAACGATGTCTATTTACGAATTTACTAATGACAAAGCTATAAGGCCAAAAAATCGTCCTTGGTTCTCCCGAAATGGATACTCACCGCTACGTAATAATTTAGCCATTAAATTTGGATCAGAAATACGAAATTATAAATAAATTTAATTATATTAGCATGTCCTGGTCTCACTGAAAAAAATCTTTGTCTTGAATGTAAACAGAAGTAAACCATGATCCTTTTCATAATTAATCTTTATTATTCTATTGTAGACAGAAATTTGCAACGCATCGTCGAATTTTAGGCGTATTTTATTTCCGTTTTTCACTTCGTAAAAGGAAATCTATGTTATGCAAGAAAAAAAACTGTGTTGTACTGTTTATTAAGAATTAATCCCATGTTTTAATTCGACACATTATGATTTTTGTCATGAAGCATACGATTTTATTACTTTCACATTTGACTGATTTTAGTACGAAATTAAAATTCCACTGCCATTTTCCTTTGCAATGTTTTAGTATCAACGTTTACCTAAATTTCTTTTTTAGTTATAGTGCTTGTCAGAAAAATAGTGTTTTACTATGAAAATCGTATGACATTCATTTATTAAAATCACCTTTGTGACCTGTTGATTAAATAAAAATGTGTGTACAATTCATTTTCAGATAATTAAGGTACAAATAATTATTTTTATTTGTCAAAGCCCAACTTCACAATACAAAACGCCCGCAACACATTTCCACAATTCTCCAACACGAAATCGGCATCAGTTTGGTATTGGTTACAGTACAAAAGAAAATAAAATGAAGGTTAACGGAGATAGAAAAGTAAAGATTTTGGATGTATCAACTGTAAGCAGTAATGAATTCGGTTATTCAGAAGAATGTCTATGCTCTTGCAATAATTGTGTAAATCCTAAAGAGTGTTGTGAAGAAATGTGTATTGCTTGTCCGGGGCCTAACGACCATAGGAAACTACGGCCATATAATAAACCATCGGGATTAAATCATTTAAGTATTAAGCAAACGGGGATGATTTTTCCTAGCATGCCATTTGGATTAAATAATCCAAATATATTTACTTCATGGACAAAAGATGTAAGTGTTCTACGTCAAAACGATGTCACTTCTAGTACAGCTGCACCTTACTTTAGAATTACTACAAGATCAACGGAAACAACAACAACTGAAACAACAACAACCACGGAAACAACCACAACTGACACGACAACAACAACAACAACAACAACGACGACAACAAAACCACCTACCACCTCAACTAAACCACCAGTAACAAAACCCTATGAAAGATATGGCAATTTTTACATCCGTGATGTTGTAAAAGATAAATATATGTTTGGTACTGAAGATGTATTTCCACATGCACATGAACATATGAACAATTATGCACGCATATTAAGTACAACTAATGATCGAACCAGAAAGGATATTAGGCTAACCAAAGATATATTTGGTTACCGTGATGTTTATCCTATTTCATTGATTATGTGAGAATTATTAATAAATTAAACATGAAACAATAAGAAAGATTGCTCTTAGTTAAAAATGTAGAATGGAAAGTGAAGAATAGTATTTTCGGAAGCCAAATCTCGCATTGGATCGCTGAACTATAATTGTGTATATATTTAATTGTATAGTAATTCAACATACGATTTTATAAATTTACAGAATAAAATGTACGCCTAGTTTTTACATTAAAATATTTTTAAACTAGTTTGCAATAAAAGAAAACTGAAATAAGTTTACCTTACGTATTTAAAGAGACAACTTCATATTTATTGCTTAATTTTGTTCAATTCTGATTGAGTAGTTTTATAATCTTACCAAACTTTATAGTTCTTGTGGATTCCAGAAGATTCAGTAACAACGTAGGATCGACCTCGTTTCCTTCTGTAAATGTTATTAAGATGAATTCATTGAAAAGTAATCCTTCTAAATACACAATTTTACGTAAATCCTTTGTGAATGGTCTTACAAAGGCTTTTTAGCTTGTATAATTCTTAACAATGCATCGATTTTTTGACAAAAAGAAATAATAGGTTTTCTGTCGCCGCCCACCTGTGCTCTAAACATTGGAGTTAGTTCACTGAAGAAACAACTGCGAGGATGTCACTCGGAATAAAATAAATTCATTATTTCCAACAGCGATATTATGAAACTGGTACGATTATTTTTTTTCTTTTCGTTCGTAATACTATCGAATTATTTAAAGAAATACAAACCGATAATTTTTTGTGGCCGTCTCAACAATGTGTACTTAAAAATTATTGGACATATTTCTGTTTTATATATTTTTATTGTTCTATTATAATTTAGCAAAGTCGTAAATTACATTACTAATGTGTGTTTCTTTAGATTTTGAGCAAATAATTTTAAGCAAAGTGAATCTTAGATTCACTCTTTTTAATAAGCCATTACGTATAGATTCATTATTTTCCAGGTAATCGGAATTGTTATTTTTTGCATAATGTCAAAATGCATTCATTCGCATCACGATTACGGCGACTACTACAAACGTGCACCGGACGATGGATATCAAAATATACCACAAGCCGATTATTTAAGCAATCCCGATGCGTACCCTGTATCCAATAATTACAACTACATGCCGGAAGAATGTATTTGCTCCTGCGATATTTGTTATAGCAATCCTAAGGAATGTTGCATGGAATATTGTACTAAATGTACAGAAGAAAACCGACCTGAATTACTATATTACCCTTATCCATATTATATAATCAATTCGCCCAGCCCTTCTATACCGAAACCAACAGAAGCTCAAATTAAAATCGAAACAACAATAACAACAACAACACAAGCAACAACCACAGAAACAGAAGAAGGTCTAGAACAAACGCCTATAGCGAGAATGGACAATGAAGGTATATCAGAAGATGCTATACAAGAGAGTTATATTAAAGAATTGTTGGAGAACGCACGATACAATAAAAAAGACGACAAAGTAAGGCTGACATCATTAAGACGTACAAAACCTAGATGGATGCCTAAATTTGGTATTGTACCAATACCAGATCAACTTGCGGAGAATTTAATGTTAAAAATTAGAAATATGAAAGTTCTGCATCCCGAAAAGGATACAATTAGAAGAATAGAATCGATATATCCTAGATCTGAATAATAATAAAGATAGCATTATAAAAATCGCATTTATCTATTAGCAAATTTAAATTATTCAGCTGGGCAGAAAACACCTAATTTTTATTTTCATATTAATTAAAAATTTTCCTTCACATTACAATAGTAAGGTAAAGTATTTCTATAAAGACAAATAATTTAATGTTGGTACGTTTTAGTCGATTTATTTTAAAAAGAATACCGTGAAAAGTCATTATAGATCTAAGCCCTAATAATTATTTCCAATATGCATGTAATTGTATAAACCTAATTTGCGCTGTTTAATCACATCACTTCTCTTCACTAACATTGATCCGATATAAATCGAATAGCACCACATCACTAGAACGCACTGCTTCAAATCCATAAAAATAATCACAATAAATCGATTCACGACAACCGGTTACCGGTAAACCGATTATGGTGTAATCTGTGATCGGTTTAACGTAAATTATCGGCGCGAAACAATGGGCCGCGACATGTCGGGCGAGATTTGACCTTTCCGAGCGCGTCGCGACTGCGGCCGAGTCGCGCGGGGTCACCAAACATGTATTTTTAGAGTTGAAAGTTCGAAATACGACGGTTATACGTTTGCCGCCCGGCTCGCCCAGCGGCGTGCGCGCATCCGGCGATCAGCTCCAGTATCGATGGAATTCTTGATGTTTCATTTGTATAAATTGCTCCTAACTAACCGTACTTACTTCGTTGTCTTGACACATAAGTATTTTACTAAATAATTCTTCGCGAAAATTTTCATTAACATGCAGCTTAAAAAATATTTCGTTAACTAAATAATACTAAGCCAACAGAAGATACACAAACTTTTGTAATATCGTAATATTAACAGTTGAAAGGGCCAAGTTTCTATTACTATACTGATAGGCCTTTGTTACCATTTTTGGGCAGTATTGAAAGGTCTTAAATATTATTATATTTCTCGTGAAGTTTCGTATACTAATTCCTAAGTAATTCGACAAAGTCGATAACACTCTAATTAACTAGTAATATTGAAATAAACTATTTAAAAAAAACAACAGTGTTAGATCTAGCTATGTTTTGAATTGATGACAATTCAAAGGCACATTTGGAACGAGGAAAACGAAGAAAACCAGGTTTTAAAAACGCCTACCAAAAAAGAATAGCAAAAGTTTATAGTAAGTACATACATAAATTCCAACAGGCGTAGTATTACTACGAGTTTAAAGAATGTGTAGGTAGGAATGAATGAAAGAAAAGTTTAGTTCTTATTTTGATTTCAATACAACTTTATTGTTGGATTAAAAAATAATAAAAGTGATTCTTCTTCTTCTTGAGGTGCCTCTCCGACTAGCGAAGGTTGGCGATCAGTTCTCCATATGTTCCTTTGTCTCTTGCGAGGCGAAAAAGTTGGGCGGCACTCGCAACCCCTGTCCACTCTCGGATGTTGCGCAACCAGGACTTTTTTCTGCAACCAAAACTCCTTTTACCGGGAACTTTTCCCATCAAGATGAGTTGAATCAGATTGTATCTGTCGTGCCTGAGCACGTGGCCGAGGTAAGATACTGATTAAAGTGATTAAACTCAAATAAAACAAAGAGTATTCTTAAAATACTTTATTTAATTGTTTTACCAAACTAGGAAGTACACAGCCATTTTTTGTCTAAAACAATTCAGAATAACATTCGAAAAACATCACAACTTAACCATTACAAACGTAAAAGTCAAAACTATGAAAATACAACAATTGACTTGTCCTTACATTAGATAAATATGAAAATTAACTATAAAATTATTCATCAGATAATTAAATTATACAAAAACAACTAAATTGAACTAACAATATATCTAAATAAATATAAATTTAAAATACATACAAATCGCTTTCACATCTAATTTGTTGTTGTTCTCGTCAGTTTCCACTGCCGCAACACGTTTTTAAATATTGTGTTTTCTAAACATGTTTTTAATCAATGGAAACGCAAACAGAAACCATTATCTAAAGGACATTTCCACAATCAGAACTAAGTCCTGATAATACTTAAAACATTTGTACTTCTAGTACTTCAACAAATCACATACGTAAATAAATGCGCAATCGAATTCCGCTCTTAACACTCAACAATAAGATATAAATTACACTGCTTGGAACAACCATTGTCAAATTTATCTAATCGCCACGTTACTATCGAACGTGTTGCGATGGCAATAAAGTCTAAAATTGATTGCGGCTCACTTCGCTTGAATCGTAAGAGAGGTAAGCAGCTCTTGAAAATCAGTGACGTACCACGCCGCCTTCTTCCTTACTTCCTCCCTTATCACATTACCCCCGAAACCTGGAAATATAACAAAATTTTTGTTACCAAGTTTAACATTGTAAGTAGAAAATCCGACACTGCCGATGTATCGGCGCAACACTATCCTTACTAATATCCACGTTTATATCCCCTCACCAATCATTCTGACACATCTCATTTTTTTTATATTATAAGGTGGCAAACGAGCGAGCGGCCACCTGAAATCGCTGAAGTAGCGAAGTGACCATTGCTCATAGACATACGCAATTGCATATGCGTTGCCTACCTTTAATCGACGGAGGAGAGGATGCACAGAAAGAAAATATTTTCCTTTTCCATGCATCCTCTCATCCGGAAAGTCCACTTCCACTTCACGCCTGTCTTCTGTCTGGTAGTCATATTTTATTACCCTATGAAAAGGTTTTGGTCAAAATCGTAAGCCGAGTCTATAACACTAAACGTAATTATGTTTGTCTCACCTATGAACCCGTCAGCTGGCGGACTGGCCTCCGCATCTGTGGCACCATCTCCAATCATGACAAGCCGCTGGTAGCCATGTTGTTCCTTCAACCGCCGGATCACCAGCCCCTTGCCGCCAGAACGCGACGTAGGTTCATTTTCATCAAAACCCGCATACTCACCTATAATAATGAAATAAACGAATCAGATCAAAAATACGTCACAAAACATAAAAAAATATAAAAAAACAAGTAGGATACTTGGATAGCCTGATGATAAATCTTACTAATATTATAAATGAGAATGTTTGAGAGGATATATAGTTGTTAGGAGGTATATGCAGCACGGAAATTTGGCTTATATGCAGAACATAGTCTGGAAGAACACATAGGCACATTAAGTTATATTTAATCCCGCGCGGACAAAGTCACGGGCGACAGCTGTTAAAAGCCTATAAACGGTTTAACGTCCTGTAATAACCGCCATTTTAAATTCTTTCGGGTAAATTCTAATTTATAACATTTCTAAACAATAGAATGTAGACAAAAAAGTACAAATCCAGAATAGCACATAGCTACAAGCATATGATTCGACAGATTAACACGTTCACTGCTACTTTTAATCCATTAAAGTATACAGGCCGAGGCACTGAAAGTGTTAACCTTGAAAAAACTCTTATTCGAGAATATAATAAAAACAATATTAGCAAAAACAGGTCTGCATGTATTTGTCCCAGATTTACGTAAAACGCACGTCAACAGGCACGCAGCAGACGCGTGTTACAGATAGCAAGCTAATAAGAATTGTTTATTAATTTTGTTTGCGCGATCACTGGGGTCCTTTAACATAGCAATTCTCGATAAATTTTTCATCATCATATTATAATATTAGCTTACATTTATTTAGTTATGAATGTATAGAATACAGTAGAGTATAGGTTAATTAAATTCTTAGCGAATTTAAACATAGTAATTAAATAATAAATAAAATTAAAAGTATGAAATTACTCACATGGTTTTATTTATATTAGTAACCGCAGGTTTCGGAGGACAAAAGAATTCTATTTAAATCATATTATCACGATTATGTCAAACATAATGATTGTTACATATGGTCTCAGAAACCAACGGTTATATAAATACTTATTAGTTTTATAAAATACGCAACATGCCCTCTAACTTTAATAGTAATATTGTGTTACTAGGCAAAATTTATGTTATAAAAACCGATATAAAGATAAAAATAATCTGTTTACGTGAATGGAATATTTTCGCCGGCTCAAGTATATCAGTGATTTAAAAACCCACAGTATTGAGTTATGTATTTATACATAACGCGTCGTCGTCTATCGGCCAGTTCATATGTCAATGACGCCCCCCTCGATGTTTCTTATCAAATAATTTCTACGCGATGTATTGAATGTCTGTAAACGTTACTTCAATATTAAAATCTAAATTACTAGCTTTCGCCCGCGACTCTGTTTCGCGGAATTAATAAAAAAAACTTTATTAGTAGCCTATATGATCTTTTAGACATGTTCTACATCTATGTCAAATGTCAGAGAATGCAGCCGTTCTGGAGATAATTTCTAACAAACATCCATCCATCCATACATCTAAACGTTCGCATTTACAATATTAATAAGAATAAGATTCATTGTTGCATTTATATTGTGGAAAAATATTGATTTAAAAAAGATACGGCATCTTTTGTACCAAACGCTACCGACAAATAAATATTTTGTAAAAGAGACGATAATCAAAGAACAATAACAAATATATTACCATCTTGGGTAAAAAACAAGGTTACTTGTTTACCTAGAATTTTGAGGAAAACTGTTACGTTTTCCCGTTACAAAATAAATTGGCCTATTGAACTCAATATAATTCTGATTTATTATTGTCATTTCGATTATCATTAGGCGCGTGAAGGTTACCTAAGTGACAATTATTTAAGCGTCAATAACCTAATGGTTAAGGTTATGGATTTCCGATCACGAGGTCGGGGGTTCGATCCCGCCATTCGACTATTGTCGTAAACCATATCCTAGCACAAGCCTAGAGCTTAGTTGGAATGGTAAAATAAATATTAGTAAATTTACAAAAAAATGATTGGCAGGAAAAGGTGACTTAGTCTTACTACCAAATACAAAGGATGTTTAAAAACCCTCATACAAAAAATGTACTATCCCTCTCAGTTGCTTTTAAAAAATTGAGACAACAGCATGATTTGTAGCCATATTGCGAAAGTGATGCGATAAAAATAACTTATTTGTCGAAGATTTTATCACCGTGAGTTTCTAAGACCAAAACCATTGTATAAAACATATCGTCAACCCTGTTATTATCTTTGACTAAAGAGAGATAACAATATGTTTGAAGCGGGGATTTTGGTCTCAGAAACTCACGGTTAATCAGACCACGATAACACGACGACCTCAATAACAACTATGCGAATAAAAACTCTGTATAAATTGTGCAATTCAATCATTTCCTTTATAAATTACCTTCGAAGTGCTTCTAATGATAAATTGAAATAATTAGATATGCAAAAAAAAATCATTGCTGACCTTTGACAACATGGAAAATTTCGCTAATCACAAGTATGAAAATTAACTTAGATTACAAACTGAAAATATTCTTTTATTATACCAGTTGTTAATTAAAATGCCAAAGCTAATCGATTTGATAATTAAAACAATCACTACATTAACCCAAAGATAAAATTAAATCATTGTCATCTAGTGACATTGAACAATTTTGATGACGTCATAAGACAAAGTTTAAAACGAGAATTGTTTATTGGCGTTTCTTAAACTTTACTCAAACTAAATACCGTATACTGGCTAAATACAAAAGTTCTATAGGAGAGATCTTTGGATTTTCCTATTTATAGTCGAACTGGAATAAGCGAGAGTTCAAGGGACTGACATGTTTTTCTCTCTAAACCGAATTGTTTATAGAAGCCTCTAGATGTTTCTCTCTTAAAAAAAAAATTGTAAAATTATCGTCATACAATATTTATGATGCACGACTTCAGCGCGTGATTAATTTTATTACATTTTACCAAATACGTGTTTCATAGGCTGTTTCATTTTCAAAATTTTCTTTTGAAATGTATTATTTTGGCCATTAAAAGGAAACTAAATCAATTCCTTGTAATTTTTTTTTACTTAAGATATATTTGCGAATCTACTTACAGTTATTTTTTTTTTCATTGAAAACTTTTTAATAACATTATTAACGACCAGTATTAGTCACATTCTCACGACCACATTTATGTGGCGTGATATCAAATTTGATATCTTTGCGGTTGCGATCTGTTTGCGTATCATATTAAATATTATAAGAAATTAATCAAAATCAAATTAAAAATGAGTCGTTACAATACTTATAGAATCGCATATTTGATTCCATAGATTAGATATAGTACAGATACAAAGCATAGATTATAAACCTACCATAAAGTACTTCGAAGGCATTAATCTTTGTGGACAGATGTCACTAAACTATTACCTAAAGTAATGAACATTTTCCAAATAAGATTTGACCTAAAGGTCTATGGTACCAGATCATAAAATTAAAAAAACTAAGCCATGACAGATACTCTGTCAAAATTACAATATACCTAAATAGCATAGCTATATTTAAATACTAGCTATCACACGCGACTACACCCGCTTGGATTATAAAAAAAATCATCCAGCCAAACATTCGCATTTATAATATTACTTAGAAGTAAGTTAACACTGCTGATTAAAAACCCGTGTAAAGCTGAAGATAACCGCTAGTCTAAAAATAATGGAATCTTAATTGACTTACCATTGAAGAAGAATTTAAGTCTATTAGCGTAAACATGTGAGACTGGGATGTTGAGAAGCTCAGCCACAGGATCTATGAGACAGCGGAATCCACCAGACACCAGATACACCGTCACACCTCTATCTTGTAACGCCTTTACTAATTGCCTGCGAATTACACATTCGTTTTACTTTGCCTTTGTCAAGACAGAATTGATTGGATAAAAGGCAGAATAGTTTAGACGATAGAATTAAAACTATGGATTTGAAAGGAAATAATCATATTACAATGACACGCAACAACTTTCGACTAAAAAAAAATTATAAAAATTGGACCACTAGGGGCGGAGTTATCGACGAACAAAAAAAACATACAGACAATTGAGAACCTCCTCCTTTTTGAAGTCGGTTAAAAACAGAATTGTCTATGGCAATCCGGTATACCCATAACACACGATTAATTATATTTACGTTGTATTAATTAATATTAAAAACTATTTTCCTGTCCCTATTATTTCATTTTGCCTTATGCAATTTACAATTTATAAATGTACTTCCCCTCGTTTCTTGTTACATTATTTACTAGTATATTAACTTACTTTTTCCTGTCCTTAGATAAGTAAGGTATGTACCAACATACAGAAAAAACTGCAATAATGTAAAAGAGACAATCTACGCATCGAGACCAAATTTTAGGAAATAATATGTGTAACTTAAATTCGTTGTATACAATTATAGAAATGTAATAGATGACCCACAGAAAGAGACTGGGCTATCACCAGGGTCGAGGTCGGGTCGGAGCGTTGAAGCGGTGTGGACTAGATAGTGAACAACTGGACATATATCTTTCGATGATGAAATGTAAACAATGTTTTAAGTGGGTCGTTGACTTGTTTCCATTTCTTGTATTGCATATGCATTGTCGAATGGAATTGGATTTTGAAATCTTAACACTTTCGGTGCCATCAACTTGATTTGCCGATTTGCTTATGGAATTAACGGCGATACAAGTCTGTAATATTAATATGTAATTTGAATACACTTACGTGATTCCTGGCGTGAGATTGATAGGAAAAGTTGCAATGAACTGTCTGATCTGATTGACGCTCGGCCTGATGATGTCCAACCTCTTCTTCAGGGCCTCCTGAAACGTCATACTTCCTCCCATAGCTTCTGCCGTACTGTAACAACATATTTATTTGTAGATCTTATCATCCAACATAATACGCGCATAGTATTTTTTTTATATTAACAAATTTTCGTGAATTTAGTAAAATTTCTTGTACCATTCTAAACAGGAGGATTGTGCTAGAATATGGTTTACGACAGTAGTCGAATGGCACGTGATCGGTAATCCGTATCCTTAACCATTGGGCTATTGACGCATCCAAATTGATAAAGTAAACTTTTTTTTAGAAAACAAGAATCATTATGCCGTAGGAAGCAATTGGCTAGCCGAATAATCGATATCTCTTAACCACATACAGAAATAAGTTAAAGTTCAATTAAAAAATCGATTCAAACGATATTCTGTTATGGTAACAAAGAAATCGTACACGCCCTCGTTGACTGATATAAGAATTATGTTTACAAGCACACAGAACACGCCACCGGGCACGTGATAGTCAATTTTAAAGACGATACGATACAACGATAACAAAAAACAAACGGTGCATGCGGAATCCCAATCTCGATAATTAAAACATTCGCTTTAATTATCGAGGTCACGACTTTTTTATTTTTTATAATGAACCTATTAAACTGTTATGAACACACAATCTTTATTCACTGTTCTGATTCTACGAATACCACTGGCATGATACAACCAAAGGACGTCAAATTGATACAGGCAATTTAAGAAATAAAAATTAAAGATTATTAAAGGTGATGGGACACCCTATAATAATTAACCACAATCGTGGAGTAAGCAAACTGTTGAACCAGTTCAAATCGGTTTTAAACGTAGCATTACAATGACCCGTAAAGTAACCACAGTGACAGATAATTATGAAATCTGTATTGAAAAAAAATAAGCAAATATTTATTTATTATAATTTTTTAGTAAAATATTAGCAAATTGTTGTTATTTTATTAATAAATCTACTTTTGTGCTAGGATTCTATTAACGACAATAGTATCTATAATGTTTTTTTTATCGAAATCTATATTTTTTTTAATATTGATGATCCTAATCTATGAATAATTCAGCAAAGTTTAGACATTAACATTACAAGGTGATTTTGATAACGACATACGCAAACAAACACGATACTAAAAGGTGCACCTCAAAGTACATAAGCGTATTATATGCTATTCTAAATTGAAGATATAAAGAAATTATTTTTAAATTACAAATTAAACCTAAACATCATGCCTGGTTTATATTATACCAGTACAGTAGGAGAGTAACGTTGGCCTAGCATGGCCTAATTTGACCCACTGGCGCCAGTTAGTGTTTTCATTATGCCAGTTGTATGCGAGCGCTGATTTTGAGTGCTACTGTCCTACTGCCCGCTGTCGAATGCTAGAGACTTATTCAATCTAAATTCAAGAATAATTTCGAATCTATTCTTAAGAATAATATGGATAAGTATTATTCACCTTGTTATTATAATAATCTAAATACAATCTATTCTAGGTCATCAAATGTAGGCAATGCAAAAATACAAAGGAAATTGATATTAATATTATCTTTTATCGGGGACTCCGGTCAGCAATGTTTAAAAACAAGACGCATTTTGTTTTTCACTAATTCGTGTTTGTTTTTGTTTTCGAAAACAGTGACAACCTTGAATAAATTACGTCTTTTTATACAATTCGAATTATGAAAAGAACTTTTAAATCTATTTAATACACCGATCGAGAAAAAAAAACAACATTTGCAAAAAAAAATGGGAAATTAAAAAGAAAAAGAAAGGAGGATTTTGTAGGCGACCAGTGTTATGTTTGACATTGACCAGTGGATTATTTTCTGCGATTAAGTAGAAGTATACTATCGTACTTTAACAGGGCCCCTTTTAGGTTAGGATAATTAGGGAATTACAATACTAGCGCGTACCATCTTTCCACCACATCACCACTTAACATCATAGGATCTTAGACAATCGCTTTTTTCACTATATAGAAAACAAAACAAAAGAATCCACAATACTTACAGCCGTTTAACTTCATCTCCTTTTCCACAGAACCTGGCTAATTCATCGATCCCTTCATCCCGGATCACTGTCGAATCTACATCGAAGCACACGCAGTCCGCTGTCCGGAACAGCTCCTGCACCGTCTGCTGGGGCGTCATCACGCTGATAGACACCAGAGATAGGGTCTTCAGCGTCGCGTATTGCAGGTTGCTTTTTAAACTGCAAATATATAAAATTCTAGCTTTATCCATAACATAACATCGTTAGGAAAATGTCCATAATTATCGTTATAAGCATTAAGAATATTTTGACCGCCATCGCTTCTAAATCCTCGTTAACCATTTACATTGGAATATCGGTTTACAGTAATAAAGTGTTATATTTTATTTATAATCTGTCCCATTTTTCGTAGTTGTCTTCTTGCGTCTTATATTATTTATAATATCAGGTAAACTGCTTCTCATATGCTACCTTTCTTTCATAAAATCACACATTTAAATAATTTTTATTCATCTTCTACCTACAAAACGTCAACTCTTTAGGTTCAAAATAAACAGATTAACCTTTCAAATGTTTGATTAATTTTTCACGCTATTTTTTGTCTTGTAATACAACTATCAACAAACGCGTTACGTGCTCTACTGAAGTGTAACACAAAAGGTGTTATTACAGTTAATTCTAACTAACCAATACGTTTGTGACAAGATATTTCCTGCGACACACATAATGACACAATTGACGCGGCAAAAGGTCGAAGGCGCGTGCAACTTGTGGTCACATTGCGAACGATAAATATAGGAACAGACGCACAAACAAGGTTTTTGTTTATGAACTTAGTTAACGGAGCCCAACCGGTTGGCGATTGTAAACAATTCGTAATGTCATATCATGACGACCGTGGTCTAAAACCTTGATAAAAGTACTCGAATATGGCCTTTAGTTACTATCTAATTCAATTAATTGCACTTTATATATCACCAGATTAAAATAAAAACTTATTTATTGTTGGTTCATGCACATGCAATGGTAAAGATACCTGTATAATGCCATTTTCGCTCTTCTCAATGTGGGATAGTTTACAAAGATACGACTTTCTACACGGAACGACTGAAACGTAATGAAACTCGTCGATTAATTGTAATGAGGACCTTACGAAACCCGTTTGTTGACTACCGCGTACACGCCTCCGTTGGTCGTGATATCATAGGGTACAGTGCACTCGGGCCATCTTTATCGCCTTATATCCACGCGCCTCCCGCGATAACATTGTGATGCGAGCTACAGCACTGCTATCCGAGAGCTACGTACTATGAATGACGTCAGGACATCGTCTTCATTGAAAGACATATGCCCAGACGCTAGCGATCCTCGAAGTAGGGGTGTTGAACCAGCATTTATCTCGCTCACACGCGATAGAAGCGTATGGAATGTTTGTGGAAACACTTGTTTTGCGAAATTGCGCCGAGCGCAAAAGCGATAAGCGCAGATAAGTTTCGTGTAGTATAAAAGTTTATTTGTTAAATAAATATGTTGATCGCAATTTAATTCTAGCAAATAAGTACACATTATAAAATAAATTATTCCATGACTACAAAAACATAAAGCAGTAAGACGCAGATAAATATTTTTACAACGCAAATCTACTTAATAAAAATCCTTTAGTATTTTTGGATAATGCATACAAAATTTTCCTACAATATTTATCAATTATCTTTCTCATTGGTAGCGGGATACAATCAGCATGACATTTGCTACCAAATATAACTGGATTTTTCTGGTCTCATGTATATAAAGATAGTTACTAGGAGTGATAAATTTTTACTGTTTTGAAAACAACTGCAAAAACTGTTACATAAAGATAAAAAAATAACAAAAGCTACAAATGCAGCCTTTTATATGCATTGTTTATGTATTTAGCCTATCTAATAAAAAAAGTTACATCTTATAAAGAGATCCCGAGTGAGATGTAATTTTTTATGTTAGCAGACTTGAATACTTTTCTGAGTCACCTGTATTACAACGCATAAATGTTTATTACTATGCACAAATAACCTTTTATAAATATAAAATAATGCAATTATTTTATAAATGATAAATTATAAATTTTTAATTTATCCAGCAAATTGATGTATTACATTGTGATATATTTTAATAACCACATCGGGTACAAATAAAGTCCATAAAAGTGAAACATACAAGTCGTTATTTCTTTTTAATTTTATTATTATTTCTTATCTATGAATAGAATGTATCAAATCAATAATATCTACACACTTATCTTGGGTTACCAAGGTGACGACCTTATGTAAAATAGATCGTTTAGAGCAATACGTCTCCTTAATTTCTGCAAACAATAAATAGAAAATTATAACCTTACCTTGTTTTATGGAATTTCCCGGAACAGAACCAAATGTTTTTAAATTTTTGTTTAGGTTATCAATTTGTCACAGGGTTTCGAAGTGGAAAATTAATGTGCGGTTCATATTATTGTAGTAAAATCAGTAATATTTTATCGGACATCTAAATTCATGCCTGAGTGTACTTTGTGTTCTTTTATGTTATGATCATATGATAACCGTAAACTGAAAAATAAAGTAAGCCTTCACCTTCAGTTCTGCTGACATTAAATTGTTATGACATAAGTCGGTGTTGCTATCGCTACCTGCGAATTATTTGAGTTAGGATTTACGATTTACTTTTGTTTGGCTTTTTTGTTATTTTAATTCTCTTTACTAAATTGTTATTTTCAATATATTCATTGAAAAAAATAACAATCTCATAAGATATCCCGCTTACTTCAATTTATTGTTTTTAATATTTACAAATAAAAATCATTGGATGAATAGAAAGTCAAGCTTGGCAGTATAAATACCACAGCGTTTGATTAAAACAGTAAAAAAAACATAATGAAAAAATTGAGGGAAATATTCAAAGTTTAAACAAAGTTTATGTGATTATTTACAATACAAAATCCAGACGAATTGATAATTATAATATTCCAATCTTTATTTTTGATTTAAGTAATACGTATTACTGCAATACGATGAACGTTGTTCATCGAGATACGCACAGTAGTAAAATAAAACAAAGATTTAAAAATGAACTTGTTAGAAAAGATGCATCTATAGGTGAGTATCACCGTAAGATACTTTTGTATTTGTACTTGTACTACATAGAATTAATTTTTTAATTCCTTTCCGTAGAAAGTAGATCCTACTAATTTGTTAGCGGACTTCATTTAAATGTTAAATTGTCATATTGCGAAAATCGATTTCATATTTCGAATGCAGGCATCCGAGGTGGTATTGCAATTTTACCACCAAATAAGGTACCCCGATATCAGTTTAATGCTGAAGAAAGAATTCAGATTTCAAAGCGAAACAAAATGGGACCACCGGAAAGTCTACCGCGAGGTTTGAAACGAAAGTAAGTAACACGATAATAGTTTTAAAAATTGTTTCGTATTTTAATAGGAAACTTTATTTTAATTTTATCGTGTTTATTCATGAGAAAAGTTTAATTTTAAGATAGGAATAAAACTTCCCCTCTATAAAACCCCTTTTTGGTTATAACGGGGAATTATTTATAAGTCCTCGATAAGAAAATAATAACATTATGTAAAAGGAATTTATTATGTAAACATTATGTTTAAGGAAGGTAAAGCAACTATGCGCTTTTCAGCTTTATTAGCAGTGCTACTCTTCTTAGCATGACGGTTCTAACTTTCATTAATGGTTGGTTTCTTTCACCATAATCCGTGTATAAAACATATCGTTATCCATCTCATTATATTTGACAAATTAAAGATAACTATGTGGATTGTAGTTTCACCACATCGCAGATCGCTAGATTCTAAATGCGGCATCGTCGTTTGCTTTTAACTTTTGACTTACACTATCGCTCATGTCAAACGAACTCAATTACGCTCCTTGCAAAGGAAATGTAGGGCATGTATTCTACGACGCATATAAAATGTATTTTTGGCCATATGTCTGCTTATTTTATTATTTTGTAAGTACCAATAAAGTAGTTGTGTTCATTTTGATGACTCATTATAACATTGTATTGATAAAAGTCGGCACACAATCAACACGTGCTCTCCTATCTAATTATTCGTCAAATATAGCAAATTAATTTTATCTCACCAATTAATTATTGTAAAATTAAACTCCATATCGGCAACAGATGATTTTCTTGCTTTATAGCATCAGATTTAGAACTAATTACTTTAAATAAACGATCTGTCGATTTGTATCGCTGACCGGGCACCTTAGCACAGTTTAATACTTCTTTAGGTTAACATATAATTCAAGTTCTGTGAGACCGGATTCGTCGTCAAGTGGTCAAGCGCGGTCGAGGGTACTAGCAAGCGATTCCGGAGCTGCGGATACTTCCCTAGACTTTGTAACACTGAAAGGCAGACCAGCGGCTATTAGATATATAAGCAGTAGTAGTAAAGGTGAGAATCAACATGAAAAAGAGGTTGGTGATAGACAAAAACACATATTAACTAGCATTTACTGCCTTACCTTTTGAAGACAAAAGATTAAATGTTGATTCGTTCGCTTCTTTCCCCTTTGTCAGGTGGTTACAGTGGTAATAAGTCTGCACGCTCAACATCCGCCTCTGTAGTGGAGGCTGCCGTTATTTTAGGTAACAAATCTAATAATCCAAGTCTATTTTACATCATTAAGGAAGTAGATATTGTTAAAATATATTTATGTTCGTGTTTTAGCAATTTCTGAAGGTAGAGGTATGGCTCGAGGTGAAATAGGCATGGCGGCGGTTGACCTCAAGCATCCTCATCTCGTACTCTGTCAGTTCAGTGACACACTACTATATACACACACTATGACTAAGATCAATTACTTCAATCCTGTTGAGGTATAGCCATAAAAAGTAAAAGTATCCTTGAACTGTTATCATGAAAACTATTGACATAAAAAGTTAACTTTTAGATTATAGTCCCGCATACGTTCTGTGAAGGTACACACCCAAATCAGCTATACAAATTAATCAAGGATCATTATCCGCTGGTCAATTTGACTACAGTCCAAAGAAGGCACTTCAATGATGCAGCCGGTCGCCAACAAATACACACCCTTTGTGCCCCACAGTACAGTGCAGTTTGCTTGCAAGTGGTTCAGAAGTAAGTTTCGAATGGCCATCATTGAAATGCCACCTGAAATGTTTGTTCAATATAAGGACAAATTTTTTAGGTTCTATGCTCTAACATCAGCTGCAGCAGTATTGAAATACGTCGAATACATCCAATGTATTGTGTTCGCTAGAGAATCATTAAAAATCGAATACCACTCTTCAGAGGATACCATGATCATCGGTAAAAACACAGAAAATTATCATAACTCTTTGATCCTTGAGATTTAAAAACGACACCATTTATTGTTCAGTTACCAATATAATTTTTCTATAGATGTAGGCACAGCTACTCAATTAGAACTAGTTCAACCACTAGTACCGTCAGCCGGGCCGTCGTGTTGCTTGCTTGGTGTATTAGGACCTACTTATACAGTCGGAGGTATAAGGTCATTGAGAGCCAATATATTACAACCTTCTTGCGACAAAGATTTCATTGAAGCTAGATTAGATGCTGTACAGGAATTAATTGAGAACGACACAGGTTTGATGGTTGATTTGCAGGTAATGTCATAAAAACAAACGGTTATTTCGTTCGTTTCTAACATACATTGTTAAGTTATTATGTATCGTGCAGGACATAATAAAAAAGCTATCCGAAATTGACAAAATATTATTTCTCTGTATGGAGCCTCCGAACTTTAATATGGAGAGATTTGGTGAGGCGCAATTAAACCAAACACTGCTTTTGAAAACAACAATGGAGATGGTGCCAAAGTTAGAAGAAGCTCTAAGAACAGCGGAAAGTGGCAGGTTAAGGAAAATAAAAATGGTAAAATAGTCTCCTAATTATAAATAATATAATTTTAAAATTCTGTTTCCTGCTCTAAGGACCAATACATTATTAAAAGTGATTAATTTAATCCAATATTGATCGAGTAATTATAAAATCTAATAATAATGCTACATCATTTTTAATTAGGATTTCGAAAATTCTCGTTACAAAGAAATTTACGAACGAATTCGTAAAATTATACAAGACGATGCACATTTAGAAAAAGGTGCCATGGGCAGCTTGCAAAGATGCTTCGCTGTTAGACCCGAAATAAACGGCCTTCTAGATGTTGCTAGAAGAACGTATTCTGAATTAATTGATGACATACAGAAGGTTGTCGAAGAACTTAGTGAATCTCACGACTTGCCTCTCAGACTAAATCAAAACGTAATGAAAGGATTCCACATAGTTTTACCTGTTGCTCCCAAGAACAGAAGAGACTTTAATGTAGAAGATTTACCAGATATATTTATTCAGGTTGTGTGTAATTTTTTTTTAATTACAATGGTCTAAACGCCTATTTCATCCACAAATACGAGTCGCACATCCTCCCAATATCCTGATCTGTAGTTTCATATCTCTGGGGTTAATTGTCTCATCATATTTATCAGCTGAGAAATAAATAAATTACTTTTATGTGAAAGGTACACTTTAACGGGGCAAGCGTTACGATGACTACAGAAGAACTTGTAGTCCTGGATCAGCAAGCTAAAGAATCGCTCAATGAAATACAGAAAATGAGTAACATGTTTGTATTTTGATTTTGACTATTTAACTCTTAATGTTTCAACTATGACTTGCAGAATATTCTGCAGTTGCATTCGACCTTTTGTAGTAAAAAAAAAAACATTGACTTGTCATTTGTGAGATTAACAGTCAGCACATTTTATTGGGTTTTTATATTAAATAATATAATTTATAGAATATCATTGGGTTTTCGTTTACTATAATTTCAGAGTAATATCGGAATTGCTTAAAGAATTACGTCCTTTTATGTCAAGTCTTTACAAACTATGCGAGAATGTTGCCGAGCTGGATATCTTAATAGCTTTAGCTCAAGTATGTTTTTAAGATATTTGTTCTTAATGTAAGTAAATATTTCTCTAAAACAAAAAAAAAATGATGTTACTAATATTTCTAGACCAGTTCAATAGGTTCTTATATAAGACCTGACTTCAATTCTTACTTGGAAGTAAGAAACTCCGTACACCCACTCCTGGACTATAACAGTCAAAAAATGCCTGTACCGAATGACATAGTAAGAAAAATATTTTTTTTGTGTATATTGTTTTTATTTGACTTCATTAAATCATGTTTTAAATAAAACTTTTTTAAAGTAAAATGGTTTAACAATTTTTTTTTCAGTTTGCCAGCCCTGAATACAACTTTACTATAATAACAGGGCCTAATATGGGCGGCAAAAGTATTTATATTAAACAAATTGCTATTATACAGATTATGGCGCAGGTAAGATTTGTAAGGAAGCAGTTCCACAAAAAATGGTACAGATAATTAATTTTGTTAATTAATTAATTTACTTATCTGTTCTAGATTAATACTCAATACAATCACTTTTTGTTTACTATTATTCGGTCTTAAGATATTTTCGTCGTTTGCCTTTGGTTTTAACAGCAATTTGATATTTATAGTTGGGAAGCTTCGTACCTGCAACGAACGCGGTGTTGAGACTTTGCGATCGTATCTTCTCTAGGATAGGGTTCAACGATAGTGTTGAATTTAATGCCTCTACATACGTTATTGAGGTAAGAAATACAAATAATTTATCACAGAGGGATTCTTAATGTAGATTCTTAAACATGGTAGACATACGATTTCGCATGCGGCTGTTGATTTTTTTTTGATAACAACAGATGAAGGAAACCCAACACATCCTTGCTGGACTGACACCGACTAGTCTTGTTATCATAGATGAATTGTGCAGGTAAACCCTAAAATTTTAAAAATATGATTTTTTAGTTAAATAAAATACTTTTTATCAGTATTCTTTATTATTAGGGGAACATGCTCCGACGAAGGAACTAGCTTAGCTTGGGTTGTTTGCGAAGAATTAATAAAGAGCCAGGCGTTTACATTTTTTGTTACTCACTTTTTGTATTTGACGAGACTGCAAGACTTATATTACAACGTAGTCAAGTAAGGTTCCATTTATCTAACTTATGGGAGAGCAGATCCATTTAGTTGATATTTAACTGAGTAATATATCATTTCTATCTTTATGACAGCCGATATACTGTGGTAATAGAAGAGGCTATAGATTCTGACAGCACCGAACGCCGACTGGTCTATCAACATAAAATAGAACCAGGCGTCACAACAATTGAACATTACGGTCTAGCATTAGCTGCTAAAACCAATTTGCCCGAAGATACCGTAAATTTGGCAAGGGAACTGGCAGAATTGATTACAAGAAACCAAACGGTAATCACTTTAAACCTAACTTTTGTGGATCTTATCAAATACCTCGTTATGTTTTTAATTTTTAGCCGAAAAGTTCTTTAACTAAAGAAAAAAATGACGATGAAATTCTCTACAAACTGCAAGCAGACATAAGACAACAAAGAAGAAAAGACCCAAACAACAAAAATAAAGTACAAGAAATTGTTTCTACATTCAAAAAAAATAACTCGGAGTTAATTAAAAGAATTCAGATGCAAAAAAATAAAAATAATAACTCAGTTAGTCCAATACTGAATATATCTTCGGAAAGTAGTATGAATAACGAACAAGCGATCATGGAATTCTCAAATAAGCAAGAACTGTACTCCTTTAAAGATATGAAGTCATTGAGTAGAAATGAGTCGAACGTTTCAGAGCTACAAATCAATAAAACTCCGAGTGATTATAATGCTAATGGTGCAAATAGCCATCATATATCTGTTAAATCGTCAACAGAATTATTACATACTGTCTCAGATAGTAAACTAAGTAATAATTTTCAAAATGAACGTGTTTTTCAAGATTTGTCTCATACAATAGACACTTCCACGGAAATCCACATTAATTGTTCACCACATGTTAACAGATCAGACATGAACGATGATTTTAATGAGTCAGTTGTGAGTAAGACGAATATTAATTCTAAAAACTCAAGTTGTGCAGATTATAATCCTGGTGAAGAAATGGAAATTTGCGATGAAAGAATTTTAAATGATAAATCAGATCAGAGTACTGCTACAGCAAACGATACCGATGAAGCAGATGCTCTCACACAAATAATTGGCGATTATGTTGGTTCTTCTAGCTCAAGTGAAAATTTTGATGCTGCTTCTACTGATGAAGAACTGATGCAAGAAACTATCAAAGAAATAAATTCAAACGGAAATGATAATTTGGAAACAATAATACTAACTCCTCCTACCGGCTTTCGAGATGAAGATTATTAAAGCCATCGCTTATCTACTGTATGGTATTGAAATAAACTAAATTGAAGCAATATGTGTTTTCTTGATTCATTTTGTTTCCTTTTAGAATAATTTGTTGGGTCGTTTTGATGTTTTACTGATTTTTACTTTATGGTTATTGTATTGCATCTTTCAACTGGCAATCGCACTCTATAATCTATAACTATGAAAAACAAATTACAAATGGCTGCCGTTTTTGTAATGCGTGATGCGTGTGCGAATTAGAAACTTTTAACGGAATCGTTTACTTGTGTTTTTTTTAATACTGCGAAAAATATTGATCATCATACTGTAGCGCAGGACGAAAGTAAGTTTTATTACATTATTTGTTAAATTTTTGGTTGCCGGTGTTATCGCCATGTTGATTGTTGCGAACACTTGCGAAAGGTGTTGAAATTTAGTGTAAGTATATTGGTGCTTGTAGAAGGCGTGCAGCTATGTCGCTGCCGCCGTACCTTCTGGGGCCCAACCCCTGGGCCACCATGATGGCGCAGCAGCAGCTGGCGGCGGCGCAGCAGGCGGCACTGCAAGCGCACGCCGCCGCTGCTGCTGTCATGCCTCCGGTGCCGCCATCACAACCACCGAAGCCGCACCACATACCGGAAGAGAAAATAAAGGAAAAAGGTAAACATTACCGTATTTGCATTTATATGGTGATGAACTAAATTTAATGTTCACAAATAGGTTAATAGAGAATATCATCTAGTATAAACTAGAAAACAGTACGTGTACCATGTAAATAAAATCGCTAATTCTGAGGTGTGACTTCAACTTCAAAAATAACTTTAGTAAGAGTATCTTTACCAAGTCGTTACCATCTGTAGTGTAGTATTGATGGTGCATCAAATGTAAGTAATATTAAAGCTTAAAATATCTTGCTTGGACCAATTAGGCATACATTAATATTTTAATAAAGACTTAGCAAATAATAATATAATTTTTTTATAAATATTGAATGTGCATTGCTCTGAACAACCCTTCTTTATGTCCAAAGTTTATTACTTAAGCAATTATATAAACCATTTTTGGAGGGTATATTAAATATTGCAATTGATATAATTTTCTATTCAAGTTTTAATAGGAAATGCTGTTATTGCACACATTTATACATGCTTTAATATACTATCATAAAACTTCAATTATCTTCTGCATAATAGTTGTTACTTTTTGATTAACACTTAATTTTCAAGGTTTATAAAAATGTTAATCTAAAATTATCTTCTATAGCTCAAAAATGGTTACAATTACAATCAAAACGATTTGCGGAGAAGCGCAAATTTGGATTTGTGGATGCTCAGAAAGAGGACATGCCACCTGAGCATATCAGAAAGATCATAAGGGATCATGGTGATATGACCAGCCGGAAATACCGTCATGACAAACGCGTTTATCTAGGAGCTCTAAAATACATGCCACATGCAGTCATGAAGCTCCTAGAAAACATGCCCATGCCCTGGGAACAGATCAGGGATGTAAAGGTTTTATACCATATCACTGGTGCTATAACATTTGTAAATGAGATTCCATGGGTTATTGAACCAGTGTACATAGCTCAGTGGGGCACTATGTGGATTATGATGAGAAGAGAAAAACGTGACAGAAGACATTTCAAGAGAATGAGATTTCCTCCATTTGATGATGAGGAACCTCCATTGGACTATGCAGATAATATTCTTGATGTTGAACCATTAGAACCAATTCAAATTGAATTAGACCCTGAAGAAGATGCAGCAGTAGCATCATGGTTTTATGATCACAAACCTCTCATGGCGACTAGGCATGTGAATGGCTCCACATATAGAAAGTGGAATCTGTCTCTACCACAGATGGCGACGCTGTACCGTCTTGCAAATCAACTTTTAACAGATCTGGTGGATGACAATTACTTTTACCTTTTTGATTCAAAAAGTTTCTTCACTGCTAAAGCTTTGAATATGGCAATACCAGGTGGGCCTAAGTTTGAGCCACTGGTCAAAGATAACTCGGCAGGAGATGAAGATTGGAATGAATTCAATGACATCAATAAAATTATTATAAGACAACCAATCAGAACTGAGTACAGGATTGCATTCCCATATCTCTATAACAATTTGCCACATTTTGTTCAGTTATCATGGTAAGTCTACACTTGTACTGTTAAAAAAATTATGGCATTTAATAGTCACACAACGACAATGGTCAATTTTATTGCTTTTTTTTTTACTATTAAAAAAAATATTTTTTTGTGTTTTACTTTATAATTCAATTTTATTCTGTTAGTATCATTAATATTACATAACTTATTAGGTATCACACTCCAAATGTGGTTTACATTAAAACGGAAGATCCAGATCTACCAGCTTTCTATTTCGATCCATTGATCAATCCTATCTCACATCGACACTCTGTTAAGTCTTTGGATCCAGTACCAGACGAAGATGAATTTGTACTTCCTGAGGATGTATCACCATTCCTCCAGGAGACTGCTTTGTACACTGATAATACTGCTAATGGAATTGCTTTGTTATGGGCACCAAGGCCATTTAATATGAGATCAGGTGAGAATATAATTTTTCTTGGTAGGAGTGTTTATGCTGCAATCAATTGTTACGTAACCTCCTTTAGTTTTACTTATTTTAAACCTTCATTAAGGGTCTTCCTTAGTGACCAATAACTCTGTGATCTGAAATAGATGTTTCTACATTATTAATAAAGGATGATGTACATTATGTCATAATTAACTACAGGACGCTCACGTCGTGCTATCGACGTGCCATTAGTAAAGACTTGGTACAAGGAGCACTGCCCACCTGGACAACCTGTGAAGGTCAGGGTCTCTTACCAGAAATTGCTTAAGTACTATGTACTGAATGCATTGAAGCATAGACCTCCAAAACCACAGAAAAAGAGGTAAATTTCTTGTTGATTACCATCCTAATCCAATGCAAAAACCTATTGATATCTCTGTTTTATTATTTGGGATGACATGTTTTGGCAGTGGAAATGCATGGTTATAACGTCTTTTCTCAGCATTTGTTAAAATTCGTATCATCTTTTCCATCTAGGTACCTTTTCCGATCTTTCAAATCTACAAAGTTCTTCCAAACCACAACATTGGATTGGGTGGAAGCAGGCCTACAAGTATGCCGACAGGGTTACAACATGTTGAATCTGTTGATTCACCGCAAAAATCTGAACTATCTTCATCTTGATTACAACTTCAACTTGAAACCAGTGAAAACACTCACCACTAAGGAAAGAAAGAAATCACGATTTGGAAATGGTAAATTCACATTAAATTTATTGCTTTGATACAGATTCTGCCTTTATTTGATATGCAAAGTTCTAGAAGATCTTGATGTATCATATGTATACCATTCCCCATTTTTATTAAATTAGAGATTCAGATTCGATACTAATTTTATCTGTCTATCACTGCTCCTACTTATTTTAATTGATTTGTGAACTATGACGTCACAATATAGCTTGAATTTTACTTTAATCATATTGGAAATACCACATTTTATATAGAAAACTATATCAACATGTCACTATTTCAGCGTTCCATTTATGTCGTGAGATCTTACGTCTCACCAAACTGATAGTGGACTCGCACGTTCAGTACCGTTTGAACAACGTGGACTCATTCCAACTGGCTGATGGGCTGCAGTACATTTTCGCTCATGTCGGCCAACTCACTGGCATGTACAGATACAAGTACAAACTAATGAGGCAGATTAGAATGTGCAAGGATTTAAAACATCTCATCTATTATAGATTTAATACTGTAAGTTAATTATATATGTCATACGTTTTTTTTTAATTTTTTTAATTAATTTTTACTAAAGTACAGATTTGTCATGCAATGAAAGTTGTAACAATAGTTAGAAATTGATGTTCTTATTATCTTAGTGTATAGAATTTAATAAAGAGAAATTGGTAATCACTGTCTACAGGTTATATGAACATGTTTTTTAATGTTTTGGCTATTGACTGAAAGTTTTCTTCCTTAGGGTCCAGTGTCAAAGGGTCCGGGATGCGGTTTCTGGGCGCCAGGATGGCGAGTATGGTTGTTCTTTATGCGCGGTATAACACCTCTGCTAGAACGCTGGCTCGGAAACCTTCTATCCCGACAATTCGAGGGAAGACATTCCAAAGGTAGGATTTGGTTTTTACGCACTTTTATTTATAGTCCTTATTGTAAGACACAACCCAATAAAGATGCATTTTTTTACCACATTCAGTTCCACCAACTTGCTGAATAAGTTCTTTCATTCGTAAAAAATCGTAAGATCACCACAGTATTTTTATATTGTATTCAATAAATCAGGTGTGGCAAAGACGGTTACGAAGCAGCGCGTCGAGTCTCACTTTGACCTAGAGCTGCGAGCATCCGTCATGCACGATATCGTGGACATGATGCCCGAAGGTATCAAGCAGAACAAGGCCAGGACTATTCTGCAACATTTGTCCGAAGCATGGAGGTGCTGGAAGGCGAATATTCCATGGAAGGTTAGCATAACTCTAGCTGTTAAGCTTGTTTGTTTAAATTATATATAAATATTTTTAACGTAAAATTAAGGGAACATAACTTTCATAATTCTAAAGAAATATTTGGATTTTGATTGTTGACTAAAACAAAATATACTAGTGTTTAGTTATTAAAAAAGAATATTTGAAGAAAATTTATATCAAATTGAATTGTTTCGTCCCAGGTGCCAGGTCTACCAACACCTATCGAGAACATGATCCTCCGCTACGTAAAGATGAAGGCGGACTGGTGGACGAACACAGCGCACTACAACCGTGAGCGCATCCGGCGAGGTGCCACCGTCGACAAGACTGTTTGCAAGAAGAACCTCGGCAGGCTCACGCGTCTCTACCTCAAGGCTGAGCAAGAGCGACAGCATAACTATTTGAAGGTAAAACTGTAAACAAGAAAACAGATTAATGTCTGGATATCTGTTTGAATATGTGTCGAATTCAACGAATTCGATTAAGACTTGTATATTAAACAATGACTTACAAGCTATAGGTAGTAATCAAACGAAATTCTAGTTTCATCGAAGAAATTAAACTTAAGTTATTGTGAATTTTCATCTGTCGTTCAGTAAACTTCGCAGCTTTTAACGTTTCTCCACTGCGATATTTAAAAAAAATACATTGATTTTATAGGATGGGCCCTACATCTCACCAGAAGAAGCCGTGGCAATTTACACTACAACAGTCCACTGGCTGGAATCTCGCCGATTCGCTCCCATACCCTTCCCGCCGCTGTCATACAAGCACGACACGAAGTTATTGATCCTTGCGCTGGAAAGACTGAAGGAAGCCTACAGCGTCAAGTCTCGGCTCAACCAGAGCCAAAGAGAGGAATTGGGACTTATAGAGCAGGCGTACGATAATCCTCACGAAGCACTCTCTAGGATTAAACGTCATTTGCTCACACAGAGAACTTTTAGAGAGGTACGAAACATTATTAGTAACCAATTAAAAAAGACTATACTCAAATTTAATTAATCCGGAGTCATGAACGGGTTACATTTTACTTTAATCATTGAATTTCATCTTTTGTAGGTGGGCATTGAATTCATGGACCTGTACTCTCATCTTGTACCAGTGTATGACGTAGAACCACTCGAGAAGATAACAGACGCGTACCTAGACCAATACTTGTGGTACGAAGCTGACAAGCGTCGGTTGTTGCCGCCCTGGGTCAAACCCGCAGATACTGAGCCGTCGCCGCTGCTCGTCTACAAATGGTGTCAAGGTAATTTATATTTATTTAACTTTAATGTGTATTTTAACTGCCATAATTAAATTTGTATTTGATTGGCTTCCAATGTGAGAAGAATTACTGTAGCAGTACAAGAAGAAGCGGCAGTTACCCATAGTGTGCGTTGTGGCAAAGGAGATTCTTGTGGTTGTACCATCCCCTTGTTACAAACCTCACTTTGGTTAGTTGCATATTCATCAATTTCGAAGACCGTCTACCATAGAAAAGGAACACCAGAAGATGTAGAAAATTTAGACCATTTTCTTCTCAATTGAAAATTTAAATTTGAACTTTAATATATTTTATATTTTCAAAAATTCATTAAGAGGCATGACAATGGCATGCATTGTGTTGCCAACTTATGCAAATATTAAGTTAAATTTCATATTATTTTATGAAGTTTATTTTCGTACACATGCATATCTTATAATCTTTATAATAATATTATTTTAGAGAAGTGTTTATACTAATGTTTTTTTTTATTCTTTAGGTATAAACAACCTACAAGAGGTGTGGGAGGTTGGTGAAGGGGAGTGCAACGTGCTGCTGGAGTCGCGCTTCGAGAAATTATATGAGAAAATCGACCTTACGCTACTCAATCGACTGCTGAGGCTCATCGTGGACCACAATATCGCCGACTACATGACCGCTAAGAACAACGTTGTCATCAATTACAAAGTACGTAGTATTACACATTTAACATGTTTGTTTAAATGTACAGAATCATTGGATTGTAAAAGGTTTTTAAACAAATCCAATATGAATGTTTCAGGACATGAACCACACGAACTCGTACGGCATAATCCGCGGCCTGCAGTTTGCTTCGTTCATCGTGCAATACTACGGCTTGGTACTGGATTTACTCGTGTTAGGGCTACAACGTGCCAGCGAGATGGCCGGCCCACCGCAGCTGCCCAATGACTTCCTGTCTTACCAGGATAGACAGACAGAGGTCACCCACCCCATACGACTGTATTGCAGATACGTCGACAGAATTCATATATTCTTCAGGTAATTTTAACTTGTAAATTATTCGTCCGAATTTGCTGCACTTTTTAGGCCATTTCAGTTGGCCATTTCTAACAGGCAATTATCGTGTTTCTTTTCATATATTAGCTTATTTTCAGTTTATAAAGCGATATTTTAATTCCCTTATTGTCAGTCTTCAAAATGGCGTTGTAAAATCTTACCTATATTTGTTTGTGCAGATTTACGGCGGAAGAAGCCCGCGATCTGATCCAGCGCTACCTGACTGAGCACCCCGACCCCAACAATGAGAACATCGTAGGCTACAACAACAAGAAGTGTTGGCCTCGTGACGCCCGCATGCGACTCATGAAACACGACGTCAATTTGTATGTACCAATAGTATAACAATTTTACACTAAGGGTCTCCCTTAACTCAGCGAATAATCGATGACAAAGGCAGAATATGCATCACTAATCTTATTGCACAAAAAGAGGTATTTTCTAAGATGCAATAATCTTGTATCATTTTACAGGGGTCGTGCAGTGTTTTGGGACATAAAGAACCGTCTGCCGCGCTCTGTCACCACCATACAATGGGAGAACAGTTTCGTTTCAGTGTATTCGAAAGATAATCCAAATCTTTTGTTCAACATGGCCGGTTTTGAATGCAGAATATTGCCAAAAGTTAGTAATACTTTTTCATTTTTATACATCAATGCATATGCGCTCATGCTTATATTAGTTAAGGCAAATACATCTATTATATAAAATCACATTTCTAATAACTAAAGAATCTTTCTTGAATTTTTTTTAACCCTATTTGAAATTATTTGAGAAATATTCATCAGTTATTAAATCAAATTTCTTTTAAATATCATTAATATACAATGTATGAACAGTGTCGCAGTCAAAACGAGGAGCTATCGCACCGCGACGGAGTATGGAACTTGCAAAACGAAGTGACCAAGGAGCGCACCGCGCAGTGCTATCTACGAGTAGATGATGAGTCGCTCGCACGCTTCCATAACCGTGTGCGACAGATACTCATGGCTTCGGGCTCCACCACCTTCACTAAAATTGTCAACAAGTGGAACACGGCACTTATTGGTTAGATAAACTCTTAATTATACTCAAAACCGACTGAAGTAAGCTTTTTAAGAACCTCTAAGTTAACTTCCGGTGCGCTTATCTATTAAGTATTACTCTATGGTCAAATATGACACTTAGTCTATACTTAACTCTATTAACATTAGGTCTAAAAATGGAAACATCGTTTTTTTTAATTGGGAAATTAGATGTGATGAATCGCGTAGGGGTCCCGAATCCAGAGAGTCCCTGTGCTCTGGGGGCGGGCCGTGACTGCGGGCGCGCTGATCGCGACGTACCGTAGCGCTGTCCGTCTGAGACTACGCTTTCTGATCTTATTACACACATTCCTTCAATATATTAGTTGGTGATGAAAGTATTATTAATCGATCCAATTGTCCTTCAATAAAAGTTTTTTTTTCTAAGGTTTAATGACATACTTCCGTGAGGCCGTCGTCAACACCCAAGAGTTATTGGACTTGTTGGTGAAATGCGAGAACAAGATACAAACCCGTATCAAGATTGGTCTCAACTCCAAAATGCCTTCGCGTTTCCCGCCCGTCGTTTTCTACACGCCGAAGGAGTTGGGAGGTCTCGGAATGTTGTCTATGGGACATGTGCTCATACCACAGGTAAGCATCGCTGAAATGTTCGTGTTCTCATAATAAAAAAAAAACTTTGAGATGAAACTTTAGAGAAGTTTAAAAATAAATCGAGTTGTAGTCGATAGTTTTAATCTAATTAAAATGAATTTTGTTGAATTATTAGTTATCCGCACATTCTATGAAGTATTTTTTTCTTTCAGTCTGACCTCCGCTGGTCTAAGCAAACCGACGTAGGCATCACTCACTTCCGCTCTGGTATGTCGCACGACGAGGACCAGCTGATTCCCAACTTGTACCGGTACATCCAGCCTTGGGAAGCCGAGTTTGTTGACTCGCAGCGTGTGTGGGCAGAGTACGCTCTTAAGAGACAGGAAGCCAATGCACAAAACAGGTAATTAAACAATTTTAATGTAATACTCGAAAAGATAGGTCATAAAATACCCTACAAATTTTTCTCTGCCAAATAAAATACACTTTCACACTCACATTAAGGTCAATCATGAAGGGGGTAACTTTTTCACACTGTTAAATTATTCTGAGTGATACTTAAAACTTGTAAAAGCAAAGAAGAAATCCCTTCTGTTTGAAGTTTTGGTACAGATATTTAGAAATGATGAATCGCGTAGGGGTCCAGAAACCAGAGAGGTCATGTGCTCTGGGGGCGGGCAGTGACTGCGGGCTCGCCGACCGCGACGTACCGTAGCGCTGTCCGTCTGAGACTACGCTGTCTGATCAATACAATTACTACAAGAAAAAATCTATGTGTATTGCTTCGACAAATTTAAGACATTGTATTACTTTATAGGCGTCTAACACTCGAAGATCTTGAAGATTCTTGGGATAGAGGCATTCCAAGGATCAACACACTGTTCCAGAAAGATCGACACACCCTCGCTTATGACAAAGGCTGGCGTATACGTACAGAGTTCAAACAGTATCAGGTAATTCATAACATCAAATGGCTTTATTCATTTACGAGGAGATTAAAAAAATAGTAATTGCAGTAATGGCTACTTTTTTCTTTAGGTGTTGAAACAGAATCCATTCTGGTGGACTCACCAGCGCCACGACGGCAAGTTGTGGAACTTAAACAACTACCGCACTGACATGATTCAGGCGCTCGGCGGAGTCGAGGGAATACTTGAACATACCCTTTTCAAGGGCACTTACTTCCCCACATGGGAAGGTTTGTTCTGGTCAGTACTATTTTAATATATATATTTTAAAGTAACTTATTGTTATTTTTTTAATTTGCTGTTATTAATTATAGGGAGAAAGCCTCAGGATTTGAAGAATCAATGAAATACAAAAAGTTGACAAATGCCCAACGATCTGGTTTGAACCAAATTCCAAACCGTCGCTTCACACTATGGTGGTCACCTACTATAAACAGAGCCAACGTGTACGTCGGTTTCCAGGTAAAGAAATTTTCTTTTGAAACTCTATGATTACATTTTTTTAGGATATTTTTTATCACGAATTATGTGCATTTTTAGGTGCAACTGGATCTGACGGGCATTTTCATGCACGGCAAAATTCCGACATTGAAAATCTCGCTCATTCAAATATTCAGAGCTCACTTGTGGCAGAAAGTGCACGAGTCAATCGTCATGGATTTGTGTCAGGTAATTCGAAAGATATTCTTAAATTTACAATCAAAAAGATTGCAAAGATAAGTGATTAGTATTTTTAATAATATAAATTAACACAGGTGTTTGACCAAGAACTGGACGCGCTAGAAATCGAAACAGTGCAGAAAGAAACAATTCATCCTCGAAAATCGTATAAGATGAATTCATCTTGCGCGGATATCCTTCTCTTCTCTGCATACAAGTGGAATGTGTCCCGACCATCGCTGCTAGCCGATTCCAAGTAAGAAATACTATGTTTTGCACACTCAATAATTCAATCAACAATTTACGGTTTGAACAGGGTTAATAGATCCAACAGGAACTGTATTTTATTCCAGATGACTATTTACCATACTACATACCAAATCTGTTTATGTCGCAAAAAACAGAAAATTAAATTTTCTTTAATTGTCCTCGTGTAGAGATACCATGGACAACACAACGACGCAGAAGTACTGGCTGGACATCCAGCTGCGATGGGGCGACTACGACTCGCACGACGTGGAGCGGTACGCGCGTGCCAAGTTCCTCGACTACACCACCGACAACATGTCCATATATCCCTCTCCCACAGGCCTTCTCATCGCCATCGACCTCGCATACAATCTGCACAGGTACTTTGACCACTGTAGCTTAATTGTAGAGATTGTTTGAGAAAACTTCACTAAAGGTCTCCATTATTAGCCACTTAACAATTTTGAGTGTAGCTGTAAATCTTTATATTCTTTATATCAATGCAAATAGCATTGTTTCTTTTTATTGCCCTTTTAGTTTCTTACATTGGTTATCTTGTAAATTATTTCCTTGAGGTGTTGTGTTATTGTAACATATTCCTGAAGTAATTAAAAAAAAAATTTGGATGTAACAATTTCTCACCAATTATTTATGTTTATTTTAATTCACAGCGCGTACGGCAACTGGTTCCCGGGCTGCAAGCCGTTGATTCAACAAGCGATGGCCAAGATAATGAAGGCCAATCCTGCGCTGTACGTGCTGCGCGAGCGTATCCGCAAGGCGCTACAGCTCTACTCCTCAGAGCCCACAGAGCCCTATCTCTCCAGTCAGAACTACGGAGAGCTGTTCTCTAATCAGATCATTTGGTAACTATTCTACATTATATAATACATGGAGATTAAGTTGGCACGTCGACCAGAAAAGTGCCTAATTATTAACATATATAACAGAATGTTAATATAAACAAATATTAACATTCTAAACGAAATAACACAACTCTTCTGATTAGGAAAACTTTATGTAAATTGTATCTGAAACTAATTTCTTCTTCTAGGTTCGTAGATGACACAAATGTGTACAGAGTGACAATACACAAGACATTTGAAGGTAACTTAACAACCAAACCCATCAATGGTGCCATCTTTATCTTCAACCCGCGCACAGGACAGCTGTTCCTCAAGATCATTCACACCAGTGTGTGGGCCGGACAGAAACGTTTGGGACAGGTAAATACAAGGAAACTATTATTACATACTAGAGAAAATACCTGTTATTATAGATTTTTAAACTGGAAGAAAAAAGTATTAGAATATTTATAACTATCGTGCTATATCATTGAGAAAGATAAACATATAACTTTTTAGATTCTCCTTTTCAACTAAATTTACAATTATCACGTTTCTTGTATAGCTCGCTAAATGGAAAACAGCAGAAGAAGTCGCAGCGTTGATTCGGTCCCTGCCGGTTGAAGAACAGCCGAAACAAATTATTGTCACCAGAAAGGGAATGTTGGATCCTTTGGAGGTTAGCCATTTATTTTTAACTACACATCTAATCTACGTACTCAAAATCTAATTTCTCGCATAAGCGGGTTACAAAGACGTAGAAGTTCCCGGCAAAATTCAGTCGTAATAATTCAACGTGAAACACCAGCCTTCAGCCAGGATCTATGGTTTTGGTTATCATCATTATTAAGCGGTCTCTACTATATTTCTGTAAATAACTTTTTCTGTCTGATCCCCAGGTCCACTTGCTCGACTTCCCGAACATTGTGATCAAGGGCTCAGAGCTGCAGCTGCCATTCCAGGCCTGCCTCAAGGTGGAGAAATTCGGCGACTTGATCCTGAAAGCTACAGAACCACAGATGGTTCTCTTCAACCTTTACGACGATTGGCTAAAGACAATCTCATCATATACTGTAAGTAATAATATAAAGGTAGAATTACTTTGTTATAGATTACAATATTAACTTGTTAATGACGTTGTATAGGCGTTCAGTCGTCTGATCCTGATCTTGCGCGCGCTGCATGTGAACACGGAGCGCACCAAGGTGCTGCTGAAGCCGGACAAGACGACTCTCACTGAGCCCCACCATATCTGGCCCACGCTCACCGATGACGACTGGATCAAAGTCGAGGTGCAGCTCAAGGACTTAATACTCGCTGATTACGGCAAGAAGAACAAGTAAGTTTCATACAACTATTTTGTGAATGTAGGGAGAAATTATATTGATTTGAATTAATTTTACGCAACTACGACGGTTTTCTCTTGTAAGATTTCAAGACAATTAACAATTTAACTTAACAAGACTTTCCTTTGCAAAAACACATGACATTTACTCTCAAATTGTCATCCTCAGTGATTACTTTTTTTTCATGTGTATTGGTAGTTAAAACTTGTTAGTAGATTAAATGAAAATTGTAACTAATTCATACATTGTAAGAGTTTTACTTATGGCTGAGAAAGAAGAAGAAGAGTTTTAATTAATATCATTATTTCTCCTTAGCGTGAACGTAGCCTCACTTACGCAATCCGAGATCCGTGACATAATCCTTGGTATGGAGATATCGGCCCCATCAGCACAGCGGCAGCAGATCGCGGAGATAGAGAAGCAGAGCAAGGAGCAGAGCCAGCTTACCGCCACCACCACGCGTACCGTCAATAAACACGGCGACGAGATCATTACTTCCACTACCAGCAATTATGAGTCGCAGACCTTTAGGTAAGACTGTACACATCGAACATACCGGGATTTTCACTGCCGAACATACAAACTACAAAAAATATTATATATTTTTTTCAATGATGGTATTATCATATCATCTATTCATTCACTTCAGTATGATCAAATCTTTTATAACGTTATGTGTTTGATGAGCGCCAAAAGTTAAGGCGACTAAAGAATTTACTCATCATGTTTTTAACACTATGTAACGTTTTCAACAGTTCAAAAACGGAATGGCGCGTCCGTGCGATATCAGCGACGAACTTACATCTGCGTACAAATCACATCTATGTCAGTTCTGACGACATCAAAGAAAGCGGCTACACATACATTTTGCCAAAAAATCTGCTCAAGAAGTTTGTCACAATATCAGATTTACGGGCACAGGTCAGTAATAAACACTTAATTAACCCCATTGTAAAAATATTAAAGTTTTCTCTTATTTTATATTCAGTGAATTTTAACAACCATGTGAAAGTCTACAGGTGAAAGCTACTCATCAAAAGATCTCTTATACACATAAACTGCTTGTTCGTGTTCTTATAAAAAACTTTTTCGTGTTTAGATCGCGTGCTACCTGTACGGCTCGTCGCCACCGGACAACCCGATGGTGCGTGAGGTGCAGTGCGCGGTGGTTCCTCCGCAGTGGGGAACGCATCAGCAGGTGCACTTGCCACGCCAGCTGCCACGTCACCCCGCGCTCGCGCACTTGCAGCCGCTCGGCTGGATGCACACGCAGCCTAACGAGCTGCCGCAGCTATCTCCACAGGTACACAGTCTTTATACTCAGTAGATCTGCTAATTTCAAGCTTCAAGGAGTAATTTTGCTGATTACTGTCAGTGAAATTATTAATACACCATTGTGTCCATAGAATATTTAATAAACCTTTTCTCTTACAGGATATAACTACACATGCCAAAATAATGGCAGAGAATCCAACGTGGGATGGAGAGAAGACGATAATAATAACTTGTTCGTTCACGCCGGGCTCGTGCTCGCTGACCGCGTATAAGTTGACGCCGAGTGGGTACGAATGGGGCGCCAAGAATACGGACCGCGGCAACAACCCTAAGGGCTACCTTCCCAGTCACTACGAACGTGTGCAGATGCTGCTCTCTGATCGCTTCCTCGGTTACTTTATGGTGCCTTCGCAGGGTAGCTGGAACTACAACTTTATGGGTATGTTCATTACACACTTAGGTTTAGCTCGAGTAATTGGTAAACATTTACAAGGTCTAAAATATCGAAAAATGAATGAACAAAAGTAGACCCTGAAATGTCATTTTAAGCCAAATTCTAAGTATTTTTCTAATTGTCGACTTTTTAACGTGTTTTATTTGTTCTTAGGTGTCCGGCATGATCCGAACATGAAATACGGTGTACAGCTGGGCAATCCGCGAGAGTTCTACCATGAAGTGCACCGGCCGGCTCACTTCATGAACTTCGCCGCAATGGAGGATGCCACAGCGCCGATGCTCGCTGCCGACAGAGAAGACCTCTTCGCATAGAAATAATTAATATTAAGAATTGGAATTTGAATTGAAAAACTGTTTATTATAAGCTTAATTTTAAATATCTTCTTTGTTTTATTTAATCTTACGTAAACCATTTTTGTACCACACCACTTATATATTAAAAGTGCCGACTTTGGGAATTTTATCGATCCGGAACACCAAAGAAGTCCGAAGTTTCCGTTCCCAAACCACAGATAAAACCAAGTTGTTTTTTATGCCGATTTTTTACTCTATGGACTGTTTTCATAACTCTTTGATTTTGAATCATAGATTTTCTGGGAATGATCTAAAGGTCTATGTAACCAGGTTATAAAATTAAAAAAAAAAATTTTCTGGGAATGTCAACTGTCAATTTATTCACCACTGTCCCTGTCAAAAGTTTCTTCACGTTTAAACAAGTTTTATTTACTCCAAATAAAGAATTGTAAAAAGGTAGGGAAAGGAATTATACTGTTGAACTATCTTTAAAACATAAAAATGGGAGACCATGATGATTTTGAAGACAACCAGTATCCTGACAATGATGAATTCATGCCATACGTTACAGCCGGTAATCTATCTCAAAAAAACGGCGCGAAAGTTGCTGTCTGGGGTAAAGTTACAAAAGTTACTGCTAATGAAGGATTCTATGTTAAAACTGTGGATGATCAAGAGATTCTTATACAATTGAAAAAGCCACTTAGCGAACCTTTGGAAGGATGGTACGAAATATATGGAGTTTCACAAGGAAAGAGTGTATTGTGTGATGAGTATGTTCCATTTTCTGACGATATGGCCAAGAATATTGATACAGAAGGCCATAAAAATCTTGCAAAGTTACTAGCAGCTCTGGAGGACCCATGGAATCTTGGAGAGAATCCAAGTGATATGAATGGAGTAACTCCAATGGAGTAAGTCTGAAGTTAATTAATTAGGAGAAAGATGTATCTGATATTTTGTAATTCCACATGAGTACTGAGAAATATTTGAAGAGTACAATCATTCAAGAAGTTGATCTTTTATAATATTAATCTCTTGTAATATTTGTTTTGTACTAACTCTAAACTCTGAAAGTATACTTTAAATATATGTACATTAAACTTAAATTATATGCTAGTATTAAATTGGTATTGAGTTTGCTGTTTAGTAGCACAACAAGAATTCCACAGTTAATTCATTTAAAATATAATTGTTACAAATATGCTATGTTGCTAAGGTTATTAGTTTTAAGGTTTCATATTAAAAAAGTTGCCACTGTTTTTTTTTTTATTTTTTTAAATTTTTCCATTTTATACACAAATAAAGAACACCGATGCCACAGTTACATCCACTAGTTAGCCTAACCGAACATACTATGCTTATAAATAAGAATAAACACAAAACATATCACTTTATTTGAAACAATTAAAATGATTTAGATTAGTCACAGATAAAAATAAAAAGTTATTCCTAATATGTAATTAAGTCAATTAAATATGATTTTTCTTTCCAATAGCTTTACCAACAGACTCTTGGATATGCATGAATGCCTCCTAATTCTTTGTCCCGTTGCTCTTGCAATTTCATTCTCTTCTCATACATAACTGCATTAGACAGAGCACCTTCTATGCAGGTTACAGGACGATACCTTATAACAAAAAATAACTTTAATTAAAGATATGGAAATACCTTTAAGGTATCTATCTATCTATCTACCTATCATTTTTGGTATAAATCTACTACAACTGTTCCATATTAGTAGACAAAAATTGTAGTAACACTAGTGAGTTACTAATACAACTTTCTTGATGTTTGGATAAGACATGGTTACTTTTAATACCAAAGGAAGTGCTTAGCAATATAGGAATCGCCTACTACTCCATGCCCGCAGAAGTAAAAAAAAACTAAATAAGTAGCCTATACGATCTTTCAGACTGTTTGCATCTGTGCCAAATTTCATCAAGATCCATTGAATTGTTCCGGAGATAACTTCAAACAAACATCCATCCATCTAAACTTTTGCATTTATTATTAATGAGATGACTGTTTTCTATACAACAGATATGACATTATACATACAAAGTCCTTCCATTTTCATCGGTCTTCTGAATATTGGACGTATATTTCATACTAGCCGGTCTATCCTTGCCGCCTTTGAGTGCCAATTCTGTAAGATATTTCTTGATGTATTGTTTTAACTGAATATTCTCCTTTGCTAACTTAGCCTTTTCAGCTTTTAAGCACATTGTCTGCACCTTCACTCTGTTCACTTTGTTTAAGAATTTATCCATTTTCATATATTCCTTACATTCATTCTGTGGGACGGAAAAAAAATTGTAAGATGTAAGACAAATAGTCTTCATTAGGAAGAGAGGAATATCATGCAAGGAGTTTGGATAGTTGTGCGTTTTGTAGACGATTGCAATGTGTAGTAGGTCTGGTGACATAATACTATGGGTTTGGTACAATCGTGCAGTGCGTTGATAGAATATTACAGTGGGTTTGGTACGGTCATGCAGTGTTTTTGGTACGATCGTGCATTAATCAAAGTACTATACTATCATCTCCTCGTTAAGATGTTCAAAGTTCAGCGGTATCCAATCTTCAGGACAATCTTCGAGCACATCCAACCTACTATTTTCGTATTTGCTACAAATTTGATTCATTTGTGTGATTTTATTTACTTTGCTATTAACTTCCTCCAGGCGCTGTTTAGATAAAATATGGAAACATTTGTAAAAAAAAATCTCGAGGGTAAAAAGTAAGGCATAATGATGTCTTATCGTTGCTAACTTTGTTAAATTTATTGTGTTATGTTATTCCTATTAAAGTTATTGACTCTTATTATGAAAGTTTGGCGATTATCCAACTTTTATAATATTAATGGTAATGTGAAATAGGAATCAATAGTAAATTAAGACTTAAACAAAACAAACCTTTATGGTATCTTGACTACAATTTACAAGTACAGTCAACATGTCATTGTCTCTGCAGCTCATAAGCTTAGATTCCTTTTTCATTTGCCAGTACTTCTTTGCCAAGTCTTCCTTACGGTTCGTCATACGATTCATTTTGTTACTTAACGACTTCGTTGTTCGCATCCATTCCTTTTGAAGATTCATTAATATGTCCTAAAAGTTAAGAGTATAATTATTTAACATCCTTCATAGATATATAACCTTTACTTATATACATATATCTATTTCATCTTATTGATTGTTACTTATTAAAAGCCTTCCCTTTTTTGACCTTAATTTAGTAGCAACTAAAAAAAAATTCTGTGTTCTGTATTTGCTAAGAGTGAATTAGCTAGAACTTTTAATTTTACCGTAGCTTGTTCTATAAGTCGTTCGTTTCTTGCGATATCTCTCTGATAGAAGTCGTCTTTCTCCCGCAGCGCACGGTAGTGCCCCATCATTGGATTATGGTGTTCCTCGTACGAATCATAAGTGTCACGGAGTTTATTGAAATATAATTCAATCTCCAACTGCTTCGGACGACAGAGGTTGCGCATTTGTTCTTCATGCTTTAAACAAAACAGTGTTACAACTCACATGTGGATTAGATAATATTATTATTGTATACGTAACTACATATTAGACACCTTGAAGCATTATTATGAGAGATATAATTCGTGTATAAAAATAGAGAATGTATATTATTTAAACATTAGTGCGTAGACGCACTTACTATAGTGTTGAGTTTGGTGACATTTAGATGATTAGATTTGAATCATCAGTGGCTACTTTATATATAATTTCGGTACATTAATACTATTCATTGTAATTGTGAAAGATGTGTAGTTTGTTATGCACTGTAGTTTTATGTCTATCAGTATTCATTTTAAACAGTAGTGTAAGTTTTCAATTTGATTTTAAAGAGTACCCTCTAAATAAGAAGTTAACAATCTAAAGGTTCTTTTTTTCAGCAGGCTTTAAACTGCCGCATTAGATACGGTCCTGGTAAAGAAAGTAAATGGATGAAAATATATCACACTTGTTTAAAAATGTTAGAAAAAGCACAAATATCCGTGAAACCGAGAAATGAAGTAATGTCTCGAAGTGCCATAAAACCAATTACACCAGCTACTGTGAACAAATTCAATGTAGCTATGAATGATGTGAACAATGCAGAAAGTAATAAGCTAGGTAGATTGACATCACGCACGACAACAGAAAGCGAATACTTCTATACACTTGATGATGGAATTGGAACCGACTATGAAGAGGAGACTACTGAGAAAGAAAACGTCCATAGAAGAAATTGTGTGCATGGAAAAGATTGTGGAAAAGACAGAGATGGTGATAGCAAAGTATGAACTTTACTGACAGTAAAATATCATTAATAAGTTTCTGATTGAAATTGGCTTTGGCTTGCTACCATTAATTTATTTCATTGTACAGGAGCCAGCACGACCGTTACGAACAAATCGGCAGAGACGACGGTCACGTTTGGAGTTTCACTTTAGCCGACGACATCGGTACACACCTAATGTAAAGAGGAACCCAAGCAACAACTACGACCACATTTGGCAGTACTCAGAGGAACGAATAGGTCTCAACGACAACGCGTGCGCATTGCATTGCTTTGTCGACGCTTTAAAAATGGTAAGTAAAGACAATTTTTAAATAAATCATAATTACTTCATGTGTAGGATTCCGAAAACTTGCAACTAAAAAAAAACCCTGCAGTTATTTTTTCCGTATTTTGCAGACCGACGACACCGGATTTCCTAACAAACATCTGGTGAGACAAGTAATGACAAAGGACATAGAGGATCAAGAACTAAAAGATTTCTTGCAGCAATCTGCTGATGATTGCTTTCAAATACTAAGAGGTATGTTGATGGAAATGAACACATAATTCTTGTGTATTAAAATTATTGCTTATCGTAATTATTGGCTTTAATATTGCTAAAGCATCACCGCTTGCAAGTTTATCTTCTGATTTTTTAATATAAATTTCTTTACAGCCAATAAAGTGAACAAGTGTGAATACTCCAAGAATCTACTGATTTGCTTAACGGACAAGGGCAAGGCAAACTGCGACGACCTAAAGAGCGACGAGCCGGGCATGGTAGCCGGCGTCCCTAAAGCCTACCAATACACGTACATAAAACATTTGCGACCATAGCTTAATAGAAATAAATATTTTCTACTTATTGATGCTTTTTAACATTTTTAATATCCTGCCAATAGGTCCAAAGGTGACGCAATACGTACAATTAGCATATATGCAGAGATGAAACAACAAAACTTGCAATTGCAAATGTTGTATAAAAGTCTTAAGACGTGGCTATAAGACTCTTTTACCTCTAGTCTCTCGTCATTCTTGGCTGTCAACATTGCAATTTCTCTCTTCTTCTTATAAGCTCTGAAGTCACGATCCTGTATGTAAGTGATCAACGTTAGTTTCATCTCAGCCCTATCCTGGTTGTCCGTTATATCTAACTCTTCTCCTTCCCAGTTCTCTAAAAGGAGATCTTTTTGGCGATCGTACTCTGTATGGAGTTTATCTAATCGTTGAGCTCCGATTCCTGTCAAAAGAATCATAATATTTACATTCGTATTTATAAGTCCGTACTCAATCTAATTCTGATCCTTAATTTATTTAGAAGCAATAAATTTTAAAACAAAACTACTTACTGAGGAAATAGTTTAAGTTTTCCGTATGAGTTTGAAAGGCGCGCCGATGCTGCTCATCAGAGTCCTCCAGCGCTCTGGTGAGCGAGAGTATCTGGCGATCCTTTCTCTCCACCAGGAAATTAAAGCTGATGATCATACCCTAGACATAAATTCACTTATAAATGATCTTGAGGAGTTTTCTATCTTCTACACTTTTCTCTAGCCGTAGACATAAACGTAGCGGTAGATTTAGCCGTAGACGTAGCTCTAGCCAAAGACGTAGATGTTCGTAGTTGATAAGATACGATAATTATTAAGATTGATTACCTGTATATCAGAGGCCATTTGTTTACATTTGATCTTCCTCAGTATGTACCGCCACTCCTGGTTGATCTTCGCAGTGTTCATTTTGCTGTAAGACTCCTCTTTGTCAAGCTTATTCTGAAAAAGAATGGCCCCAAACTGATTTTCTGTAACCTTATGTTATTACATTGACTTTATAGTGTGAGGTGAAGTTTCCAGGAAAATGATGTCTCATTAGTCTCGTAATGTACTCCGAAATATCCATAGCTTCATTAATACTTAATAACTTTTTGATTCTTGTTCCTCTATGTTCGTACCTTGATGAACCTGGCAATCAGTTCCCTCTTCCTACGTCGTGCCTCTTCCTCCAAGTCTGCCCGATGCTGTAAGTATCGTGCGCGCTCCTCCTCCGACATGCGCGACAACTTATTCACCTTGCTCTTCTTAGGCATTTTGATTTGCTGCAATTGCTATATTTATCAATATAATTATTTTTGATATTTACAATTGCACAATTTTTTTTATATCAGTTTTTTTTAAAAGAGGACACATTGTTTTTGTATAAGTGTTTCTTTAAATGCTCACCAACAAACGAAAAGTAGTAGGATTGTATAAATTTAAATTACACTTTATGAAATTTGCAAAGAATGCACTAAAAATATTATAATTATAACAAACAATTTCTTAAGTACATATTCGAGTTGTGTTCAGTAGAAACAAAAATAAAACTTACGGTATTGCCTAAATTCTAGGATACAAGTGACTGCAAGATGTTAATGCTTTTACAATACTTCAATGTGATTATTGAACAAACTAATAATGCGTTACTCAGCAACTAAGCCAAATAACAAAAATTCCACAATGTTTGTAGCTTTTGGTTGATTCGATGCGCTAAGACTTAGTATTTGTTAAAATAAAAATTGTAATCTACCCTCATAATAATTTGTTTTGTACAGTCAGCGTCATATAGATCGTCACAGACAAGATATGCAAATATATAGGTACACCAAAAGTAATCAATTATATCGGTACAACAAAAGTCCTCAAAATAATAGATACATTCACCCTGCTCAAATACATCGGTACATACACAGCGTCAAATATATGAGTACATGCAAGATGCTCATAAATATCGTAGCAGCCACAGCGTCATAAGTAACGAAGCAGTCAAGGTGCGCAAAAATATCGGTACATTTGACAAAATTGAACTCTATCTCTATATACTTGTGATACAATTTGGAATAAACTACTTCTGTTACATTCATTTGACACTTTGTATTAACATTATAGGATGTCCGGAAAGTTTGTTCTGATTTTCGACATAAAGCTTACAATAGACTGTAGCTGAAGTAGATTCATTTTCGGATTTCCACCATTATCAAACGTCACAAAAATTTCTATATTGTGAATAATTTCATTTCATTGGTTGCGATAAAAACTAATTTTTAAAATTTTAGCCAAAAATAAAAGACGTTTTAGGTATAGAGTCGTACCAATATAATTTAAAAACATTTCCAAAAATTTAAGAGAACAGGGTTTCAATTTTCCTTATAAAGCGGCACGAACTTACTGGGCAACCCAATATTTTTCTTCTCCTGTCATAACGCTTAAATATATTATAAAAGTTTGTCACGCCGAATATGACAGATACGTAATAACTAATATCAAATTTTGCCTTGTCACAATATATACAAGTTTGGCGCAGTATTCTAGTATGTTTGCCGTAATATGTAAGTTTACCGGTTCGAATCTCAGGCTACTTTTTTTTTTCATTTTATCAATCACGGGGTTATTTTTTCATAACCAGTAAAAATTTGGTAATGTAAAATTTTGCTCGACAATTTTTTTTTTATAATTTTCGCTGTCGGGTAGAAAGAAATTTAAATAACGTTAACAACAATTAGGTCAGACCATCGCGAGTGAAGTGAGTGGGCGGAACGTGGATTGTCATTGCGGGTTTTATGAATGGTACGCGCGGAAACTATACGTACAAGTGTTATCTACATATGTGTGCGCGCCCACGCACACTGGAATGTTTATTGCAATCGACCAAAAATTTGATGTAGTTTGGATATTGACATTCAGTTTTTTTTCTTTCTTTCTTAAATATAATCAGTATCAGTAAAAGGTAGTGTTATTTTTACCGGTACAAGTTTAACAAACATGAGTAATAAACAAATTACATGCCAATAGTATCGCTTTATCTCCTTCATTTTTGTTTGAAATAGAAAAGTACTTTAACGGTCAAACTCATTAGTCCAAAGCAATATCAAAAAGTACCTAATAACTACGGCGATAAAGTTGAATTACATGTGCTTCGATATTAAAATTAAAAAGTTTAAATATAAAAAAAAATAGTGGCTTGGGATTTGAACCGCCGACCTTACGTACCAACGGCGGCGAACGGTAAGGCCACGAGACCAAACTAGCATATATGATGACAAACTTAAAATTGATGTTGGTTTTATCTACCTAATATCTGTCATCCGCGTCGAACACTTTTAGTAAATTTTGAAAAATGGTTTGATGCAAAGTGTCAAATGAATATAACAGAAGTAGTTTATTCCAAATTGTATCACAAGTATATAGAGATAGAGTTCAATTTTGTCAAATGTACCGATATTTTTGCGCACCTTGACTGCTTCGTTACTTATGACGCTGTGGTTGCTACGATATTTATGAGCATCTTGCATGTACTCATATATTTGACGCTGTGTATGTACCGATGTTTTTGAGCAGGGTGAATGTATCTATTATTTTGAGGACTTTTGTTGTACCTATATAATTGATTACTTTTGGTGTACCTATATATTTGCATATCTTGTCTGTGACGATCTATATGACGCTGACTGTACATATGTTTCATTAGTGGAAACACACCCTAATATTCTATCATTTGAAGTTCAATTGAGTTACCATGGTTACCAACAGTTGTCAATGTCTTATTAAATAAGATAACTAATAAATATAACATTCATAAATTTATTTAACTTATACATTTGGTATTCGTAGTGCGTAGTAATGGAATCCCATTCGGCGGGCACTCTGCTGTCACCATCTACTTTCTCGGAAAGTTCTAAGACCGGCAGCAGCAAGTCTGCTGATAGTACCACCAAGGATAAAGATCAAGACTTTACTAAAGATAACGGTAATATTAAATTATCATTTAAAGATAGACAAAAAGTTTACGACAGACCTCCATGTTCCATCCACACCATCTTTATAACTGGCAATCCGTGCGGTTTTTTTACGTTTGATAAGCCAGCGCTTGACCACAATCCCACCTGGTGTTAGTGGAGATTTCCGCGAAACTTCCTGCCTCACACAGCTGCGTTGTGGAATGGTCTGTCCTCGGCGGTATTTCCAAACCGCTACTACTTAAGGTCCTTCAAGAAACGAGCTTATCACTATCTCAAAGGCCGGCAACACAGCCGCGGTTGCTCTTATATTGCTGATATCCATGGGCATCGATAAACACTTCGGTGCTCGTTTGCCCACTTCTCTTAAAAAAAAAGTCGTCAATAAAGAATGCCTATACCAGTATACTACTTAACATAATGCACACTTGTAATTATAGGGACCTAATTACTATTTTATATCGAAATTATTAATTTTATTTCACATCACACATAGCTGAAGAACTCTATGAAATTTACATTTTTCATTTTGTTTATATGTAGATTAATCTTCCTTAACTACGAAAATTGAAACTTTATGCAACGTTTTCCGAAATGGTGTTTAATGAAGAGATGGTGTAATTTCTTGCATGAGTCACTACAAGAGATCCATCTCCAGTGGATCCCCTAATCCCCTCAGAGTCTTAGTAAAGAGATATATTTTTAGCTGCATCCCCAATCGACTTGGAGTGCAAGATCCAAGCGGAGAGGATCACCAAGATCTTGGACGAATCCATCAATAAAACGAAGCTGGCTATCTGTTTACCCGGTTTGGTTAAAGAATATCGCACTCTTAATTCCATTCTTTCAAACCAGCACATGGACGATCTCTTGTTAATCTTTGATCAGTACGACAGCCCACTTTTCTCTACAAGTTTGTTAAATATGGGCGCGTTTGAAGATCTCAAAGCTGTAAGTTTCCATAGAATTTTCACTGAAGTGTTTAAAGTTTTAGATGTACTATTTCTAACTAAATAATGAATAGTTTGTGATATTTGAACTTTTATAAATATTTTAAAAATGTATATTGCTAAGCTTTAACAACTGTAATTATTAATTAGAAATGAGAGATTATTTCTCTCATTTATCATCTCTATTACCAAAAATGTTATTCTTTTCTTTCCTTTCCTTGGCAGGGTGATGTATCATTAAAGAATCGTTTAAATCCAGAACTGGGGCTTTTACTTTACATAATGAACAGTTATCCGGCATTGAAGCCAGTAGTTGAAGAAATGATTGACGAGGTAAATGAATACAGTTTTTTTATTGTTCCTAATATATCTTATTTCTTGTTAATATTGATAATAATATTATAAATGTGAATGTTTAGATGGATGGATGTTTAATTGAAGGTATCTCCAGAACGGTTGCATAGATCTCGCTAAAATTTGACCTATAGAACATAGTCTGGAAGAATACATAGACTATTATGTTTTTTCAATTTCGCACAGACAGAGTCGCGGGCGATAGCTAGTACATAATAAAATCATTGATGCTTTATTTTTTACAGATGAAAGAAGATGCAATAAAAGTGAGTCTTAAGAATTTGTATAATACGTAAATATTAATATTGTTTAATGATTTGAGTTCTTTATTACTACGTAATTTATTACCTTCTTCTTGGTCTCCTTTTTAGTGGGTAAATTCTGAACGTATTGAATTAATAAATTGTCCATTCATCACGTGTCTGTGACGTTTCATAGGGTAAACCAGAAACACCAGGTCTGAAGTATCTTCTGGCTCTTGAGAATTTTCGCGGTCTAATGGTGAAGCAAATGGAGATGACCGCTGCAGAAGAGTTGTCTATGAAGCTAAAGACTAGAAAGTTGGAGGCGTCTAATATCAAACTCACTAAGAAAATCGAGGGTGACGTATTCAATCAAGATCTGTAGCCCCTAAAAATGTCCTTGAAAAACTTAACCAAACCTAATACGTTTAGTAGATCATCATTATTATTCAAGGTTTTATATGAGTTAGAATTCAATCAAGTGCATCCTTAAACATTTAAATTTCTAACACAGAACACACAAAAACATTAAAAGAAGAATCAGAAAACTTCGAGGAGACGATGAAGCACAAGGCCGAGGTTATCGCCAGCTTGGAGGCTGAACTCGCCACACAGAATAGGGAGACTGCTGTCAAACTACAAAAAAAGGTGTAAGTATATTTAAGTATTGGGAGTAAAACAGATTTGTGGAATAATTCTTGTTTCTAACCTAAACTATATTGACAAATAATATGATGATAATATTATGGCTTACATTGATTCCTCGAAGCTGTTGAGAGGTTATGAGGTCGTAATATTGTTAATATATCTACGTTCTACGTATATTTTTAGTATTTGGTATAGTTGTAGTGTTTTTCAGCCTCGATTCCGAGCGGCAGATGGTGTTAGCGACGCGAGCACACTTAGTCAAGAATGAGATGCTTAAAGAAGAAGAAGCTGAGAGTAGGGAAGTTTATGAAAATCTTCTAAAAGTGCATCTTCTCGAAGAAAAGAATTTAAGAGCGAGAAGGTCCGAAAAATCACTATGAAAGTTTAATTATAGCGTAGTCAGTTATAATGTACA